ACATAAGCACATTTGCACATGTCAAGCTCTTTCACCCCTAATGTTGTCTTTGCCTACTTACTGTCTCTGTCTGGGATCAGATACTCTAATCGCTGTACGGTTATTTATCATTGCCCTTAAAGCTACCACATGTAGTAATGAGCAGCACAAACATGTCATATTGGAAATATTTATAATTTGTTTATATTAGCATTTAATCACTTGAGTATAAATAAGTAACATAGTATTATCTTGAAATGAGACTCTTATATCTGCATAAAGAGGTGGTTCCCTTCTAAGGAAGCTGCTGTTTCTACTATAGCCAAGGATGGACAAACTAGTGACACATGCTTATTTGTATGAGAAACTGTGCAAAGTGCACAAAAAAGAAGAGGAAGAGTGCTCTGATGTTGCACAATAAAAAGCATGAAAAGTTGCAAAACTGTCTATTTTATTTGACACTTACCCGCACTGTTGCCTTCTTTCAATAGCCATTCAAAAAGCATTACATTTCTTTAACAGCTGCAACAGTCACCCTAAATTAGCTACTCAAACCTAACCACAATGACTGAAAAGATGAGAGTCTAATCTATAAATAATGTGTTTTGGTTTAACTTTCATGTTGCCAGTTTTATTTTTTGTGGTCAAATTGTGGTCAACTAGCAAGTGGGATGTTCACAGCAGCAGGTTGGTTTCTCTATTTATAAGCATGTAAACATGTGTGTTTTGCATACACTGTGGGAAGTTACGAGACACGCTTAACTAAAATGGGAAGAACTTGTTTGAAGCTGTGTTTCTTAATCCACTTTGTTTTGTAAGTGTTGTTGAGTTTGACTGAAATTGGCAGATACAACTGTTAAATTGTGAAATTTACAAAATGGAAGTGTTTATCAGAGATCGTAACTTTGGTTTCAGTGCAGTGTTTGCTCCATTTTTATTATAATGCATTAGTTTAGATGATTTTGAGAAGAAAATCCTTAAGGCAACATTTTACATGAAGCTGCTACAGTCTTATAATGCAGCATAGGCATATTTTCAAGCCTTACAAATGCATCCATAAGGTTTATCATGATCCTTATAAGTTGTTTTAAGCATTCATTACAGATTAAAGCAATGTTTATTAAGCGTGATAAGCAGTGGGCATAACTCCTAATAAAGGTATGGCTTGTTATTATACCTTAGTAAAAAAGGAAAACACAGAACTGACCAGGAGATGGGTGGATGGAGACAATAGGTTTTAGCCGCTGCTCCACTTGGCTCACTAACTGGAAATCACACACTGACCTTAATTTTTGAAAACAGAGCCAACAAAACACATTCACACCTCACTGTGTTTGTGCAGGCATGCTTATGCCTTTGTATGTGTGTGTGTGTTTCAGATTTACCCCCCCAACCACTCTCTCTCTCTCTCTCTCTCTCTCTCTCTCTCTTTATGGTGGGGAGATTAGGTGGTTAATCCTGTAGATCTCAGAGAAAAAGCCACTCCTGATGCCACAATGGATTCCACTCAGTCCACCAGAGAGAGGACAGACCTGCTGCTGATACACATCTCCACCTCTGACGGAAACAGGGCCCACACACACACACACACACACACACACACACGCACACACACACACACACACACACACACACACACACACACACACACACACATAGAGAGTAGAGTACATCATCAAAGACAGGATATTATATTACATATGTATTAGATTCATGCTATAAATAATGCCACAACTATATTGCTCTATAATTAACCTGTCAAGTCTTGCTTTAACTGTGTGCCTGTGACTGAATGTAGTCTTTATACTGTCTACTTCAGATATTATACTACATTTAATTCAGTCATCCTCCCTCACTCTCTGGAAACATTTATGATCAGCTATCATTAATACATTTCAGGATGTAGGCTACTGTTCGGCACATCCAATCCTGGTCATTGATAGTCTCACTTATTGATTAGCTCTATGTTTACAGAGGGTAAGCATTATCCTCTGATCACTTCTATCGAGCTGTTCCCAGGCATAACCGCTTAAAAAACTGACAGTTTAAGTTTGAGGAAAAGATTTGGAGGGAAGATGTTCAGTATTTAATCCATCATAATCCATAATCGTTTGTTATCAAGAGAAGTGCAGATCCTGACCTTTGACCTTTTCCTGAAGAGAGAGGCGTAAAAAGTTTTCCCTTGAGCAAATAATAAAGTATGATACTCATTTAAAAGAAGGCTGAGACTTTTCTGTTAGATCTGTTATCTTGATGTGGATGAGGTGTGGTGAGTTAATAAATTAAAAGGAAACAGCCAGAGATAAAATTCGATTAATTTTCTCTTTTTCCAGAAAGCTCCCATTGATTTTCCACAAACATTACCCTTGCGATGGAAAGACAACTCCCACCACATCTGCCCATCCCTCCATGCTCGTTTCTTCGGAGGTGTGTGCAGTCCCTCCTTCTCCAAGCATTACGCTCTCCCACTGACTCTCCCACTACTTCAGACTTTGTCCTCCCTATTCAGTCCCTGATCTGACGAAAGCCGCCATGTTCCTACAGGGTCTGCGTCAAGTAGTGCACCGAATGCATTAAACCCGGATATGAAGGAAATTTGATTTCAAAATAAAATCTCAAATGAATTTATCATTGTTTAGGGAAATTTTTGTTAAAAGTTTTTTATTTTTGATAATCTGTTTCGATGATATTTTAAAAAGTCATTATTATTATTATTATTATTATTATTATTATTATTATTATTATTATTATTATTATTATTATTATTATTATTATTATTATTATTATTATTATTATTATTATTATTATTATTATTATTATTATTATTATTATTATTAGTAGTAGTAGTAGTAGTAGTAGTAGTAGTATTGGTGGTGGTAAATAAACAAATAAATAGATTAATAAAAATGATAATCATATAACAAAAATGACAATAACTTGTTTGGCTACTAAAAAAAAAAAAAGTTACACAATAAGAACACTCAAACTGTGATTTCCCAGTATTTTAGACTTTATCAAGTATAATAATTGTTAACTTTTGTCATTCAAAACCAATACCAGCACTTTCTCAGTGGAATAATTGCATTAAAAAAAATCACATGGAAGGGCCCTGAGAGCATTCTTTTATGTTTTGTCACCTGAACAGGGTCTTCATCCAGTGTTCTTCACCAAATGGGCACCAAGCGTCTCTTTTAAAAGACAGCAATTAGGGGAAACAAAGCACATTTTCTCTAATTCTAGGATGCACTCAGAAGTGTTTTTCTCATGTATTCTTAGCTGAAGTTACTACATAGAGTACTTGGGCATGGACTTACCACTTGGGGGGTCAACCAAGAGCTCCGCTGTTACACTTTCTTCTCTAAAAGGGCACTTAAGAGGATAGCGTTTGGCATTGTCTTTGTGCAATGTGCCTTTTAGGAGAGCTATTTTCTCCTTTAAACTATAAACATATTCTCAGAAACATCACCCATTAATTTCCGCACAGGCATTATAAAGCAAAGGATGGGTGATGCCATAATGGAAATTCAGACCCCAAGTAAGTTTTTGTCAGCCTCAAAAAGGTCAAGGAGGTGACCCTAAAAGCAGGCTTTGAGCCTCCTGACAAACAGCTGCCTGTTAGATAAGTCTGTCATGCCACTAATACTGTAAATTCCTAAAGACTGTAGCTTCAACATATGCAAAAAAAAAAAAAAAAAAGTAGTAACAACAAACTGGCTTAATTCTTCAACGCTGGAAGTTGCAGAATCAAAAATTTACTCTGAAGAATATTCAGTAATTCAGGACATTCAATCTTAACTTGTGGAATAAGGAATCGTTAACAAGCTTAACATTCCCTCAAAATGCATTAGTTGTGATTTTCTAGAAAAAAACCTTGTCTATTAGACTTTTGACGGTCAAAGATATCATTTCTAGTCAATAACTTATTGAGAACATGTTAAAACAAGTTTGTCTATGCCGTCATGCCAATTTTAGACAGTCAAAATGACCATAGACCAGGGCCGCCAAGTTTAACAAAATGTCAAGAGTCAACTTCAGTGTTATGTTGTGTTATGTTAAAGAAAAAATTTGCCTTTTTCAAAGTTGATGTATACCACAAAACTGTCTTCACCTCCATGCCACAGCAGCTCTCCCTGCACTGTGCACTCTCCTACAACTAGTCTTAATCAACCAGAAATTAGAAATCAACCAGAAATTAGAAATTGAAATTGTAAAATAATTTTGACAAAATACAAATATTTGTCAATATTGCATTTCAACCAACTCTCCATAATTTCCCAACATCGCAAAAAAAAAAAAAGTGAGGCGTTTATTTTGGAAAATGTAACCGGAAGTCCCACGTTGTGTCTTCCTTGTAGCTTGTCGGTGGGTTGTTGAGCCAGGATGACAGCTGAACGGGTCTCAAAGGTACAGCAGCTCAGTCTGTAAATTAACAACAACCATCACAAACTCCCGTTTCAAGAGTAGGACCGACACTTTTCTCCGGGTGTCGAGTTTAAACGACTGACCGAAACATTTGAGTGTAAAGGAGGACGTTTAGCGCTAACCTTGCGGATATTGTAATATATTTTTTTTTCTCCTTTTCACCGAGAGCGAAAAAGACCCGAGTCCGGATGTGCCAGCAGTGTTTGGTTTTTCGCATGGCGTAGGCACCTTTTCTCAAACACAGCAGATTCTTGATGTGTAGAGGGGTCGGAGGAGGCCCTCGGGTCGACCGCTTATCCAGCTAACATTAACTCTAGACCCGAATTTGACCAAATAGTTTGGAAAATGATCAACGAAAGGATTGTGCAATAGAGGAAGAGAAGCGTTCGAACACGTCCGGACTACCTCAGCGCTGTGACTGTGGAGAGAAAGAGTCACCACCAGGAATAAACCCTGCTTTTGTTTTCTGCGACGACGTGGGTTCAAGAGTTTCCGGAGGTTTTTTTTTAATATCAGAGGAGACGAAAAGAGGAAATAATTGTGTTCTTGACTTGTGTGTGCGTGTGTGAACCCTTCGGAGGACCGGGAAAACCTTCACGATGACGGGCAGCTGCACCCCAGCGGACATGGTGAGAGCACTGACTGACAGGGTTTCACCCATAACCATTCACATGCATTTTATAACCAGGCTTTTTAACCTAAAGTGATGTAAATTAACTGAGAATCTCCTTCTTGGTGTTCAGATGGGCCCACTATGACAGTGATTTGGAACTGTACACCAAACAGCCATAACATTAGGAACACCTGGCCAGAGAAATATAATCCATTAAAATAGCTTGAGCACACATTTTACTGCTAAAAAGCTTCAAAATGTTTGTTGACATTGAACATAGGGGTTATTTATGTTTTTTAATTAGTTATGGTGTCCTTCATATTGTGTCCTCTTCATTGATAAAACACTAGAAAACCTTTCAATTAAGTGCACCTCTGCAGGAAATGTAGAAGCTTCATAGAATGTAAGGTAGAGCTGTTGCATTGGGCTGTATTGCATTGTGGATTATATTGTTTCGGCTGGTCGGCTGTGAATTTCTCTTCCCTCTAACTGATATAATCCTTCTCAAAGAAGCTAAGTTCACCTTTTGTTAGGTTTGCTAGCTATATAGATACTCACGAGGCTTTTTTTTATTATTGATAATGTATTTTGTCCTGTAGTTTTAGGCAATCATTAGCTTTCATTGATTTCTTTGTAGCTTGAAGGTGTAAAGGAAGCCTCTGAAACCTCATTATCTGCTCATCTATCAGAGAGAGCATCAATTCTGTATTCATTAGTGTATTTAATTCAAGTCAGTAAACTGAATAGCTTCTATATAAAATAATGAAACCACTCCTTTTATCCAATGGGAACATGTAGAATTAACTGACTTTGGATCAGATTTGTTTGGTCGTATTAGCTCTCAGATTTTCCTGCCAGTCTCTTCTCAAATTATCCCGTTTTGTCCTCACTGGAGTTTACTGTTTTCTTTTTCACAACAGCTGCTGAAGTAGCTGTACTTTGAAAGACAGCTAAACTTTATGACCCTGGGCCCGTGGTCATCATCAGGTGACTTTATCAGCTTACCCCCACCCACTAAAGACACTATCCTCTTATGACTTACAGTATTTACTTGTTTTACACAAGCTTCCTGGTTGTGTTGTCATCAGAAAGAGTTATGCCAGCTACTCATGAGTGAGCTGTTTCTCAAATTAAAAGGCGTATAAAGTACGTCCAGTCGGGTTTACCAAGTCTCAGACACAATATTCCTCTCTCAGACTGCTAGTCATCGTTGTTGCTGAAGTGTGGTGGCTCTAAGAATACCTCCTGGTCTATGTATAGAAAGGATAAAACCACGTAATGTGCCCCTCGATGCAGAGACCAGCTATCCCAGCTGTGCCTGTGCTCCTGCTACGTCCACATTCAGCTGATCCCCTGAAACAGCAGGTCCATTATGCTGTCAGGATATTGGGATAATGCTGCGAGGAAGTTAGATGTGAGCCGGCCTCTCTGTATATGTGGTCCTGTTGAAGCTAAAGCATCTAAGTATAGCACATAGACAAGAATTTCCATGGATTATGGACGTAATCATGGGCTGAATGTTTTATATGCGGACCTGATATAATGTTGACGCTAAATCCTCGAGAACACTGAAGAATATTCATGAAAGTCAGCTGTTATGTCACCGGCTGTGTCCTACAGTGAGACTAAATATTACCTTGAGCCAGAGTGTGTTAAAGGTCAGTTTACAGTTGTCTGTTGTGTTTCACTTGAATGACATTTTTCCTTGACCTGTTGACCAGCTGATACCAAGCACTGCTCAGGAAACATCATATACTTACTCCTGCTGAAAAAAAACATTCATTTGTAACATTTACTTCTGTTTTTACATGAGTTTTAATAAAGGTTTTACAAATTATGGCATCAATATGGTATGCTGACTTGTAAACCTACTGATACCAATGCAGGTATTGAAAGTAACCCGGGATTCCCACCGCATCCGGAACAGTTTAGATCCGAAACGGCGGTGATTCTTGCCATACGCCAATTCCTACCAAGTCCGTTTGTGAGACAGATTATGTGGTGGATTACGGATAGTGGAAATCGCAAGAACTCACAAGAACCTGCAGATTTACGTGCAATCGCGTGATAACGAGTTCCTTTCCAGCGCGGGTTAATCTGTGCTGAATTTATCCGGCATGTTCCGGCGTGCAGAAAAAATAGAACTCTTGCGATCAGCTGAGGAGTCCAGCGATCTGCAGCGGAACAGAAAGAAGCCGGTGAAAATTGACACATTAACTTGAATGGTTGCCATCGGTGGATACAGCCTTTTCGTAGCCGTTCCGGATGCGGTGGAAATTGGGGGTTAGGGTTAGGGTTGCGGAAACCAACGTCAATACAGATTTTTGATCTTGCATCTACACTAGGGATGGGCAATATGGGCTAAAAAATTGATCACAATAAGTTTTGTCATTTTGGCGATAACGAAAAAAGTCCTGATAAAAAAATATTACAATTCCAATCCATGTTTTTGACTCATTCTGTCTTGACAACACCGGTTGTCATAGTCAAATAAGAGACGTAACCACAAGTTTAAGTGGTAGGTTATGGAGAAAAGTAGTGACATCAAAAAAGTCTGAAATGTGAAAACACTTTCAACACTTATTCAAAACTCTTACTACATAGAGTGAACAGCAGCAGATCCACGGTTCAATGTCAGGCAAACCTGATCACACTCATCTAAGCCCCAATCTTGAAGAAAATCCCTGCTAAATGGAGACTCATTTAGCAACGAGCCGCTCAGAGACGCCTTCTTCACCACCTTCTGTCATGTTTGTTTGTTATTCTGCTCTTTGTGGGCTACGGCTGCAACTCCGTCACTCACGCCTACGTCATCAACTTGCATTTATCGTGAGATGGCAAATATTCATCGTGGAGAATTTTTCTGACAATAAATCGTGAACCATAATTTATCGCCCATCCCTAATGCACTCCAGCTGCTCCTTCCTTCAGCCGGCAGACCTTTGGTTAGAGCCTCCTGCAGCACTGCTAGTGTCTTTAAACAACACACAGAATTTCTGCCAGCTGGTTTAAAGCTCAGCCTGATTTGTGCTCTAAAATTTCCCTGTAGGGGAAGTATCACATTATTATCGCATCAATCATCCCCGGGGTCGTACTTGCAGTTCACTTTTCCTTCAGTTGGTAGTAATCGTTTTTCATCTGTTAACTCTCAGGAATTGTTTTAAACCGGCTTTTATTGTTGCCAGCGCTGTTGTCTTCAGGCCCGTGTTATTCACATCCCTGCAGCTTTAATATAGAGGCCAAATTCTGCACATTTGTAAGACATCTTCTTCTGCCGGTGTAAATCTCAAGACAAAAATCAGGCTAGCTCTGTGCATTCCCAGAAGAAATATGGGGAAGCATCATCATTGAACTTCTCCTGTGTGGTTGCATTCAGCAGATGAGGCAGATTTCCCCTCATCTTCTCCTTTCAAACTCTCTTCTTCTGGCTAGTAAGTCAGTGAGTGTGCACACACTTTTTCAGCCTGTATAGAGTGGGAGTGGGTGTAGGAGTAGGAGGAGAGAAGATTGCTGCTGCCAAATATTGTGGGTGAATGAATCTGAGAGAGAAAAGGAGGAAGCAGTAGTCCTGCCTCTCGAGGATGGAGGATGGGATTTTTTTTCTGTCTTTGAAACAGAGAGAAAAAAGAGAGGAGGGTTGAGGGATAGGAAGAGTGAAGGAGGAGGGAGAAAAGGGGGGCGGGGGGGTGAAATTACCTCGCTTCAGGCAGAGCTCAGAAGTGCTGACAGGGATGAAATGGTATCCATGGTAACAATGGGACGCTTGGATGTAAGATCTGAATGCCCTTGTGAGGGAATGTATGAGTATGTGGGGGGTTTCGGGGCAGGGGTTCACTGCAGGTATGAGGGAGAGTGGGAGACAAAGAGAGAGAAAGCAATCACACAGGAGCAGCGGGAGAATGAAGCACCTTAGATAAGACCAGATGAATAAATACACCTCAGAAAAGACTGACAGTCCAATGGAGCAGAGGGTGAATTTCAGACATCAGTGCTCAAGATATGTCCCAGCAGCACAGATAAGACAGTGTGACAGCAACACGCACACACCGACACAAATGAGCACAAACAGGGAACTACATGATATCTGTAACTCATGCCTGTCAGTGTTTAATAATGTTTATTATGCATGTGTTGCCTCTTCTTCTTTTCTTTGGGGTAGAACTACTGATTGTTTTTTTTTTTACTGTGGTTGACTGACTGATCTTTACTTCAGAGAAGAATAAATCGACTAATTGATAAAAAAAATTATGAGTTAAAAATGCTACGTAAATGCAACCAGTCTGATTCTGTGGACACTATGGAGAATAGAGGCAACAAACAGGGATGGTATCAGAGCAGCTCCATGAGGTTGTAAAACACTCAAGTACTAAAGTAACTCTGAAATCAGCATATTTCTGTCACCATAAAATGTCAAGCCTGCTGCTCCCAGCAGCTGCTAGACTGTAAATGATGGCTGTGCTATCAGACAAAAATAGCATCATAATCAAATGCCAAAAGATTGAAAAACTGTGAAAGTGTTGAAATGAAGGGCTGCATTACAGGGATGTTTACTGTGGATTAACCCTGTACGAGGACACGGTGACAGCATGGCATCTTTCAGGTCATTTGGCTGACAATGTGACTATTACACATGCGCACATTGCAACTGTGATGTTCAGATAGTCTGGATTAAAGATGTTGTTTAGTCAGTATTTAAGGTAAATACTTTTGGCTCTCTGATAAGTTAAAAATTCTGCAGTAACAAATTTTACTATAATCCTGTAAAGTATGATCACTCACTGTAGGGCTGCACGATATACTGTCGTTTTTTTCATTTTGGAAATGAGCATTCATTGTGAACACATTACAAAAGTGAGTAAATAAATAAATAACATCAAACACACTTTTTTTCATATAATGCCACTTTTTATACTTATTTCGTATTCACACCACATTATTGAACAATAATATCATCCCTGACTTGTCGTTCTCTTATCATGTAGTTGTACATCAGGACACAGTTGTTTTCATTGATCTGTTTTACCTTCCGCTGTTTTCTCATATTAAAATGTTTTATACCAAAATTAAAGCTAAATCTGTATCAAAGTTTTCTAATGTTTTACAGCCCTATTTCCAAGGTCTCCTTTTTCCAAGACGCCTTCAAAAAGAATAGTAAATCATCTGTATGAAAAATGATAATAAGTGACTGCTGAATATTTCATGACACATCCTGAAGTCTGGAGTTCTTGCTGTTCTAGCTGTAATTCCTGGGGTGCTGGTTTGATAGCCTGCAGTGGTAAAAAGCTACTAAGTCATGCGGCGGATTATTCATACGTACTCGTACTAACCTTGAACAGTTCATATACTCAACAACACACAGGAAAAACTTTGGTGACTTTCAGGTAACTTGATGAAGTTACAACAACATAGTTATTATATGCTTGGATTATTAAGTCCTTTAGTGAGGTTTTCTTGCCAAACATCCATATTAAAAACTAAATTTCTGCTACTTTTAGTATCTTTGTTAAAGACCATCGACCTGTGAGAGATAAAAAAAAGTTCAGCAACCAAAAAGCATTTCTTATAAACCTTTTTTAATAACTCATCAACCTGTAGTAGAGCTGTGAGTAACATTTTGCTTTTGCGGACCGACCCAACAACATGACTGTGCGTCTCCTTTCAAAGACGTGGTTGCTGAAGGCAAACAGGCGCACACCTGCGCCTGATATAACATGAAGAAATAAACGCCGTGACCACACAAACACACTCATGCACACTCAAACACCCTGTTATTTGTGCAGAGCTGAGTACGTGTTAATTTCTGTTGGAGGTGGTAATCACACTCATGTTACTCAACTAGACCAGGACGCACAATAGAGGTATTAACCCTTCAGTTGTCAGGTGATGATATTTACCTTTAGCAGTAAACATGTTTGTTTTGTCAGGATTTTAAATTCTGCCAAAGACGCAACCACTTGCAACTGTTTGTCATGACAAAGAATTTCTTTGGAATTATAACTGAATATTTTCACTTTATTGATTTATCTGCCAATTAAAGTCTTGATTAGTTGCAGAACATAAAAAACAATCAAAACATTAATTTGATGAAGTTTAAGAGGATGACAGCATCACACAGGAGCAGCAATAATCACTTAATTTAAGTGTTTCTCCTTTTAAAAAAACAAAACAAAACAAAAAACTGTGATTTAAAGTCAAGATTAAACCAGACTTATTTACTTCATCCAGCAATCTGCCTTATCCAAATGTATTCAATGTTATTTTAATCTGCTAATTTTCATAAGGTCATCATGAGAAGCATGGATATTTAAATGTATCCCAGAAGTACACTTCCGCTGAAAATGCTGGGTGTTGGTGTCACTGTATCAGTATGTGTCTGAAGCTATTTAACTTTGCCTCTCTGTGCAGGGCTTATTTTAAATCTGGTACTTTGAAAGCAGTTAATAGTCCATTCCCACATTGTTCAGAGACCCCCTAGGGGCACACGCAGACACACACCCACAAAGAAGCCAAAGGTCGGGGTCGGAGGTCAGCGGTGCGTTGGTTGTGGATCAAAGAACAATGGTTGGAGAATCCTCGCTGCCGAAAACAGCACTCCCTGTCCGTCTCCCCACTCGAGCTGAGCTCAGCGTTACAACGCCGAGCGATGGGAGACAAAGAGGTCCGCCGGCGTCTTCAGCCCCAGGCGGAGCTGTTGACTGAGGCTTTGATTGACACACTCAGAGGGGAAAAAGAAGAACATACTGAACAATGACAGCGCCAGCTGAGTGAGGCTTCTCGGTGAATGTGTGTGCATCGCTGATGCCATGTGTTGTGAATGTGAATCACAGATCGCGATTACATCATAGCGCCCGGGTGCATGAGCTGACATATTGAGTCTGACGTTGTCACATGTTGGCCTTGGAGCGCTGCAGAAACTTCTGACAGCAAGTTGTGAAGGTGCAGAGTTTTGGTCCATTTATTTAAATTCAAAACATTTCGTAGAGGAATGACTCAGAGATGAAACTAAGAGAGACTTTTTCTGAAAATGTCTTTTTTTTTACCTGAGAGATGAATAATAGGATGACTCCATGACATTAAATGAATATGTAGAGGTGTGTTGGACATACTATGATCAGTAAAATTGGCAGATACGCTGTCAAAATTTGATGAACTTTCCCTTAAGTAGATTGCAGAACAAAACTTAAATCCAGCTTTGTCTATTTAGGACGATTGTATCAGGTTTTGTGTTTTCATTGACAGCTGCTGGTACTCGCAGAGCTTTTGTCAATGTCTAGCCGTCCTCTGTGATTGTGTGCAGCTAATTCAATTTTATTGACGTGTCTACAATACCAACAGGAAGTCCTATTGAGAACCTCTCATGCATTGCTTATGTAACTATTTGCTTGTGTTTGTGTGTATGTGTTATTGGCCCGGCATGTGTCTGTGCATGTGATGTCCATTATGAATAATAACACAGTTAACAAACCCATCAACATTCGTCTTTTCATGACTTTTAGTGTCTGATTCAACTGAGCAGTTATGTATCGTCAGCTGTAAAGATGTTGGTTTCACTATTGGAGTGGAGTTGCGTTTGTTGGTTGAAAAAATGAGCCTTTGAATGTGTCTTTCTTGTGGCCTGTGGAGTTCAACATGACTTTTTAAGACAGGAAACAATTTGCTTCATTTAAATCCAGGAAGGCCAGGCTTTATAGTGAACCCCGCTGAGTCATGAAGAGAACTCCAACTATGCACGTTATTTACAAAATGACCTTGGTGCTTTTTTAGAGCGGATTTTATTGTCGCAGTTAAAACCCAACATTCATCATCATCAGCGTTCACTTGAGTAAATAACCAAGTGAGAAGTAAATGAGTCTTCTGGATGTCTGTATAATCAGTTATCGAACTCTTCACTCAGTATGTTAACATGCACAGGCAAGTCAAGCTACTGTCATAGCTAGGGATGTCCCGATACAATATTGACAAAAATACGAATATCAAATTATATCGGCCTGCATCTAAAATCTCCGATATCAGCATTCCAATACAAGCAGTCCATTCCAGACTCCACTTCAGCACTTCCATTTAGCAGCGCCCGGATCAAGCATGCAGAGCCCACGTAATCACAACAACAGTGTATACTAAGGTACTAATTAAGTAGCAAGGAGTAGGAGTGATGTCGGCTGTGTGGCCATATTTTTCCTTGAAGTCCGAAAAAAGACGTTGCAGCCGAGTGCTAAACTTGTCACGCACAAGTTCATGCTAATATTGGATCAGTACTGAAGTCTACAGTATTGGTATCGTATCGAAAGTAAAAGTTGTATCGGACACTCCTAGTCAGAGCACGATTAGGAGATTTAACTGGACTACTGTCCTCATCCCAGTTTACATGGAGTGGGCAAGAATTGAATTGTTGACAGAAGCATGGCAACCTAGGTGCCAACCCGTGTTGTTTTTGTTGACGCCCTTTTTTTCCACGACAAAGATGTGATGTTAACGAGCTAAACATAAGTCTTAGATCACTAAAATGAGATGAGACGAATGTGCGTTTATGTTGACGAGACGAAAACGTTAGTAGTGGACGACGAACAGAGTTGCAAAATTCCTGAGCATTTTGTCAGTCAAACGCTAAACATATATTCTGCAGTTGACGTCAACGTCAACGAAAACAACACTGGTGCCAGCTCAACTCGGCTCCCGGTTGACATAGTAAGTATCAAAACATTCGGAAAGAAATGGTAACAGGATGTACATTGAGCGGTGAAAACGTCATTTTTATCACGATGTACTGTTTGTCAGTACAATAGGAATGTTTTTTTTGTTTTTTTACCATAACCTTACCCTCAGAAACCACCACAGTTACCCTCCGTTTGTACTTGCATAGTAAAGCAAGCTTGGTGTTTTCACAGAGTATGGAGAATAGAGTAGAGAAGCAGTGCAGCTCTTATTTGAACTGATTTTACACCGTCTTTGTTACATCTGACTCAAATCGTAGAACCTGCTGGGTAGTTTTGTACTTAAAACAAAAACAAATAAACAACAGATATGTCAGTCAGAGTTTCTGCAGAATTCATGTTTCCCTGCAGTCTGGAGGCCAGCACACATACTACCAGCTTCTAAATCCACATTAAACAGCTTATGTAAGTGTCTTAATCAAACCATCACTATAATTTGGATGTTGCAGCAGGCAGCGATGATAAAACTGAAGTTAACAGGTTTGTGTTGATTATTCTGCAGAAGATTATTTAGGCTCGAGGCAGATTTCACACAGCAAAGATTAATAACCAGTGAGATTAGATCTTGAGGGTGAAGCTGGCTATTAGATTTCATCTCCGGCAGGCTTGAAAGAGACCCTATCTCCTCTGTAGTGGGTTTGCAGTTCTGATCAGCCCGAGCTAGAAGAATGAATCGTTCTGTGAGTAACCCGGAGGCTTTCTAAGAAAAAAAGTCAGTGTGTGTGTGTGTGTGCTTGTGTTGGGATAAGGGCTTATTCTGCTGGAAAACCCCCCCTCTTTTCAGCTGGCAGTGTTGGCAGGTATGGCTTCACTCAGGCAGAGGAATGTCTTGAACTATTTCACTGTTTTGGGGGCTCTAAGGGTCCCGAATCAAAAGGAAGTTTCTGGTCTGCACTACTGATTCTGCTCCTGATCTCTTCTGACAGTGAATCGAGACACTTGCTGTATCCTGCTTGCCCTCATCCTTTTGAATAAAATACTGAGGCAGTGATTGTGTCAGCGAACACGCCAAATTCCCAGCGCTGATTACGGATTCCTACACAAAACAGCAGCCATCTTTTTTCAGCTTCAGGGCGCTGACCACTTTGGGAGAGAAGCAAAGTGAGGACACTCTTCGGTGTACGGCAGTCAGAGCATGACATAAACGAGTGGGTGTGAGTGTGAGTAATATGTGAGCACTCACATGGCACTAACACGACAAAGTCCAAACTGGACTCTGTTATGCCTGCAGCCGCTTTCAGAGCTTGTGTGTACGTGTGTTTTTTGTCCAAGTTCTTATGCATGCACACATTTGCATAAGGAAACAGGCCTGGGCACAACTTGTTCTTCCTGTTAAGTGTGACGTGTTAGCTGTCGGCTTTGCCACTGGAGGAGCACCCACTCTACCAGTTGACTTTTGTTCCAGTAAGCAGCACAAACTTAAGCTGCACCTAAAGGCCTTTGTTAGGATGTAAGGGGGCTGTGCCACACCAATAGCATTGTGTCATAATGCATTTCCCTTTTGTGGAATAAAACTACAATCAAAATACAGGATAATGCTCTTAACTCAGATGTAAAGTACGGCTTAAACATGACAGAAACCAAAGGCTGAACTTGTAAATCAACTTTTTTCTCAAATGTGCACTCTCTCTGAACTTTTGGTTAATACCTTTTGATGGAGCTTGACTTACAGCTGCTAAATCACTGGCTGACTTTGAGTGACTTATCATATTTATGTTGCACTAGACAGGAGCGCTATACACCGTCAGTGACATACACAACACAGTGTTTTACATACACCAGACCAGCCTAAACACACCCATCCCTGATAATAGCCTGATCATGCTATGATTACCACCGTGCTAAACATTATGGACAAAGCATTTCCTTTTTGGCCCAAAAAAAGGAGAACAAGGGTTAGGTTTCAAATCTGAAGAAATGAAACTCAGAGGGTTTGCTGAATAAAGAAACTGAAAGAAGGATGTAAAACTTGAGAGTCACAGAGAAGGATCATATTTACGGAAGAGGATAGGGGCCACTGGGGGAAATAAAGGTCTAATATGTTTTTTTATTATTATTCTGAGAAATGATGTTAGAATTTTGACTTTTTTTCCAGAATTCTGACTTTTTTCTCGGAATAATAGTAAAAAAACAAAACAAAAAAGTATATTTTGGACCTTCCTTTTTCTCCACTGACCCTAATCCTCTTCCATACATATTTACTTAAACCAACATGATATTGAAAGTAGTGCTTTTTTACTTGTTGAGTTGGCTTGTTTGCTTTATGTATCGCAGACATTCACAGTGTGAATCATAAATGCAACCCAGGAGACACTCAGCTGGTAGTCCATTTGTCCCTTCGACATAATAAGTTTTAAATGGAAATCCTGCTCCAGTGATTTGCTCAGTCAATGCGCCTGGTGCCGACACCGTATTGATCTCACTTTTACATCAAGCCTTATTTCCAGTGACAAACTCCAGCATCTTGATACAGTCTCTTGTTGTGGTGTGATTAGCATTCGAATAATGTTACATAAGAGGGTCTTTCCATAAAGCTCCACAGCTGTCCTTTCACAACAGTGTGATTTAAATACGTGCAAATGCTCAGGCAAAAAGCACATGCTTTATTTCCATGTAAGTCTAAATATTGAGCAGTGTAGGAGAAACAGGGGGTGGAGTGGGGGTGGCGTTCAATAAAAGGAGCCTTTCAGCTGCACTGGAAACAATTTCGAGCTGAGGGGACATTTATATTAAAGCGATGCTGTGCCAGCACTCACTGTGTGTGCATGTGTCAGAGCAGCCAACTAGCAAGAATCAATTGTCCCTCTTCCTGATTCAGTTTTGGGACAGGCTGCTGTTTCTAAATAAGCGCTTAATTCTGACCCGATATTCACAGCCCTGCGCCAGCACAGGCAGAGAGACAATACGTTTTGAGAGAATTAGAGGGTCAGTGGAGAGACGTTTCTCATTTCCCCAGACGGGGCAGACAGAGCAGTCATCCAAAGGTCACGCTGCATCGACTGGATGTTCTAACCCGCTCAGCTGGTGTGCAGATCCCAAACACAGATGTTTACCCAGTTTTGTTTTTCAATTAGAGGAGGTTTTGGATCATCTGTCAATATTTGTGAATAATTTATTCATTTATTAGTATTTAATGCGCCAGAAAATCCTTTACAGTGTGGCCTTTACTTTTTCCAGAGTGTGCTGTAGAAACAATGTCTTCACAAAGGTGGAGCTGGAGCCGAAAACTGTTGTGTCTCAGTGCTTAATGAATGGTTGAAATTATGTAATAATGACGCGTCCCGGGGGAGACTTTTGCCAGGGAAAGTCCCGCCTCCTTCGCCTCTGATTGGCTGGAAAAGCTGGAAACATCATTACATGCTCAAGCCAAACGGTCAGCACTTATAGCCAATCAGAGGCGATAAGATAAGCACATGAAACTATGGTAACAACCGTTAGCATACGTTAGCACAGATGAAAGTTAAAACAAAGACGTTTAGCAAACTGTTAAAGCACATAAACCATCGTCATTTGAGAGATCCGACGCTATGACTCTCCACAAGTTGTCCTTCAGGTCGTTATATTTGTAATGTTTGTGTTTTTTATCAAAAAGCACTCTGTTCTCTGACACGTAAACAATCAGCCGGTCGGCCATGTTGGATATACCGGTGAATCTGACGTCACAACAACACGCAATCTTATTGGTCAGAAGTGGACACACAGTATGTGAAACTTTTAAAAATCGACCTCGATCTGAAGAAATAAATGCTGCAATAACGCAGGACGAGAAAACGTTGCTGATGTGAACGCTTGTATTGACAGGATATGGGTTCGAAAACATATATTGACGTCTGAAATAATCGCACGACAAAAACGGTCCCGGTGTGAAAGGACCTTAAGCCAGACGTCAGGAGAAAAAAAGAAAGTCAATTCTTTGACGGTTTTCACTCACTGTTGCTATGGTTACAAATAGTCTGCATATTCACCAATCATCCTGCAAATTTTCTGTGAAGTGTCTTCTTAAACGCTGATCCTCATATGAAGGGTTTGTCAGGTTTGTGTTTAACAGGATGTAACAGCGTTTGGATTGATTGTTTGTCAGTTGTCAGAAGAAACACTAACAGGGAAGAGGAAGCAGGAAGCCTTTCTGCCATGTTTGCATCTTTTCATGTTGACTGATATTCACTTAGACATGCTCAGAGAGAGAGAGAGAGACAGAGAGAGAGAGAGAGACAGAGAGAGAGGGATGTGTTGGTGGGAAACAGTCAATGAGGTATAGAGAGCCTGAGGTCAGAGAGGAGTTAAAGATAGAGCTCAGAGAGGAGGCAGCCAAAGACTGGAGGCTGTGTGTGTGTGTGTTTGTGTGTGCGTGTGAATGACGGAGTGAAAAAGGGAGCATGCAGAGAGAGGGTATATTTGGCCTTCATGCTGTCTTGCACAAATTTGTCACTGCATGTTGGATGTTATTGAGCATTCTGACTATGAATATCTTTAATGACCCCAGCAGGGGTTGTGTGTTATTTCCATGCGTGTGTGTGTGTGTCTGTTCTTGTCTGAACGAGCTGGCACTAATGAAGCATTAGGCCTTGGACCGGATTGATTCGGGGCTTTTTCACCATTTTCATCCTTATCTTCTCTGTTTTCCATTTCTTGCAATGAGGAAGTGTTCGTTTATCTTAAGGGAAGCAGCAGCAACAGACTTTTGGCTTCAGCAAAAAGGACACCAGATATCGACCCGTGGTTTGGTCTAATTCCACATTTTCATGAAGTGGCCTTTCGAAACCGAAGATCATTAGGCCACATTTACAGCTGTGGAAGAACATAGCAGCGTTAAGTATCTCTAAATTTGAAAGATGGATGCTTGTGGGTGAGTTTAAAAGGTGGCACATTTTTGCAAACTGTAGCCTGATTTCTGCTTAGCTCAGCACGGAAGAGCTCAGTCAGCTAGTTCTGCTGCTGTTATAGTAATAGTGCAGAGTGGTTTAAGGGTCACCAACCAGAGAAGGTCAGAGATTAGAGGGTAATCTAGTTTAATTATTCATCCAAAGATCAGAGTGTTGAACATATGGAGCATGTTGGTGAAATCCTAACTCAACATCACCCTTTGGCTTCCATACTTTCTTTTGTCCCTGGGGTTAAACAATGTTTGTTAAAGATCTTGATTTGGTCCCCAGACGTCTCCCCTCCCCCTCCCCCTTCATCTCCTTCTCTTCGCTGCTGTGTTTCTTCCTGTTGTTGCTTCTACTGTCTCCCCACAGAGGCTGCCGTTTTCCTGTGGCGCTTAACACAAACATAACCAGCGGCTCAGATCTCAAACCAGACAACAATGGGAGGGGGGGGAGAAAAAAAAGAGAACAACAAAGAGGAAACATGTTTCACATGCTGTAAACACAGACAGACTCACTGAAAGTTTGTCTGTTTTTACAAGCAGTGGAAGCTTAGAATTAACTTTTAATTACAGATAATATAGGCCATGTGAATTCTTACACAGCAGGACAGAAACCAGTACTGTGAAATCTGGAATATAAATCACACATCACAAGTATGTAAAACGTAATCTCTTCCTCGTCTGTCAGAGAGAAAAATGTTCAACATGTCTTCCTGTGCGACATTTTCCACGGCCTTCAGCAAAAGCCATCGCCTGCACTTTTTATGTTTCAAGTTTTACCCGTTAAAGGGAACCTGAAATACCGGTGCCGACCTCTCTTGGTCACTTATATGCTATTTTAATGAACCTGCATCTCCCAATGAGATTCATGTCACTGGTAGTAGTGTATCACTTTTGCTGTTATGGCACGATTATGACCTGATCAGGGTGAGAAGCTGGTAAAAAGTGTTGCCACCAGCCTGTGTGGTGAACCCTTGCTTATAACACACAGATGGCAAATTAGCAAAGTTGTTGCGTATATAGCTGTAATGAAGCTTTGGGTCGAGATACAATATCGTCACGATACTTTGGCCACGATATGATACCATTGAAAGTGCTAGTCGTAGAAGTAGGATGTGAATATTCAGGATAGGGCTGGGCGATAAAATGAAAATTTACAGGTACCAAAATCTACCCATGTCAATATATTGGGTGTCAAAAAAAAACTATAAAAGTTGGTTTTGGATGTGTAGGGAGGCTATGGTTTCATGTCCCTTTAAGACGCTGTCCTACGTCAGAGATGTGACTCCCTCCCATCCAGTCCATAAGAAAGAGGGAAAGACAGGTGAGGAGATGGAGGACGGTTCAAAAGTTGTAGCGGCTGAAGCGGCGACTGAGGTAGATTAAGTTAATGTGGGAGGGGGTGAGCAGCTTGTGAAATAGTTATCGTCTATTTATCGTTATCGAGGTGAACTGCTCAATATATCGTGATACTGATTTGAGGCCATATCGCCCAGCCCTAATCCAGGAGATATACAGTAGATGAGTCAAATCAATGAAGTGTAAATTTGGTATGACAGTCGCACATTTTAAGATTTCATTAATATTTTTCATTGCACGTATAAAACAGCCTCTTTTTCTGTCACTGCACTCTGTACTGTGTGTGTGTGTGTGTGTGTGTGTGTGTGTGTGTGTGTGTGTGTGTGTAGCAGTAGTAGTAGTAATATCTCTGGTTGTGTCCGTCCAGAGCCATCTGGTAAATTCCAGCACAGAGGGTATTTTAGTTTGCCAGCAGTCTGTATCCCCCCCCCCTTCATCACACACACTCTCTCATGCAGACACACATTTTCTCCGCCACACTCACACACATACAGTGTCACGTGCGTCGTGACTGCAGGGCAGCGCTCCTCTTTGAGGGAGAGAAGAAAAATGCAGCGTTGTGGATGTAACTGCTGTCTCCCGGCCGTTTTCCCTCTCGGACTCTCTCACATGTTACGTCACGTTTCCTTCAAAAGTCTGCCGACTCTTTTGATGTGTGTAAAAAAGGGACGAGGTCGGCGACAGAAGAGGAGCAAATATGGTATCCGTGTGCAGTGATGTCCTCTAGTGTGCTCCCAGAAAACCATCCACGGAAACGTCAGAATTTGAGAGACAGAATTGGGTTTACTTGGCAACCGTCTGCTTTGATATCACAGGCTCTTGAGCTTTAAAGGTTTTCTGCTTAATTTGAAGCTTGAAGAATGACAGTAACTAGACTAAATCCGTGTTTTTACCTTGCAGCTTCAGTGTCATAAACAGGATCATGAGGGATGACAGACTGCAACCCATTTATTTTCATGATAGGACGCTCTTTTTTTAAGTAATATTTTGACGTGATGAGGCCATTGAACCATTAAACAGCCAAAAAATAGTCAAAATTATGTCAAAAATATTTACATCAAATCCTCTATTCGTCATTTCAGATGCTCACATGAAAATAAATAAGCTTGTGCCCATAAAGGACATGAAAAGGTTACATCTCAAGCTAATCATGGCTGCAGGGAATCTTGCACTCAGCAGGGAAGACCACCTAGGAAACAGGAAGGGGGGGAGGATGTGTGGGGACAGAGGTTGTGGGGCCAGAGGGAGGCAGGGGTCACATTAGAGTCTGTATGCTCTCTCTCAGGAGGAGGAGAATGGAGAGAAACAGCGTCAGGATGCTTTACTTGACTCCAGGGCTTTCACGTAGCAGGGGGTCAGGAAACCACAGGGGAGGGAGTCACATTGGTGAGACACCGTGTGATGGAAGTGAAACAGTGAGGGAGGGCAGGGGGGGGTTTGAGTGGGTGAGGGGCAGACAGGCCTGCTGCAGAGCAAATGGTAGCATGAAGGATGTAAAGGACAGGAGGTCTCATCAAAGTCATCATCGGGGTCCCTCTGTGTGGTCCCTTCACAGCAGCAGCATGACGACATGTGGCATGTTGGCCTTTGGGTGGGCGTGTGTCTGCTGGTTGTTGTTTTTTCCTTAAAGCTGGACAGACAGAGTACAGACAGGGAGGCTGGAGTCCGCATAGAAATAATGACAAACCAAAATCCAGTGATAATCCAAACTAATGAAGCTGAAAGCTGCAGCTAGGTGTTTTAATTTAGGACAGAACTTAGAACACAACACTGGGAAGCGGTTGCTGCTGCGACCTTAAACAGATTAAATTAAAAAAAAACTCCATAGTTTATTTCCTTATTCATTTTTTTACAACATTACTATTATAATTTAAAAAGTTAATTATGTTTCCTGAAGTTTTCCTTTAAAATGATGATGTGTTAAAGCTCCCATGAGGGGTTTTTCACTGGTAATGAAACAGACTGAAAGAAATAATGAGTTTATTATGACCTACAAAAGCTAATTAAAAACATCAGCATAAGACTATATAGTATTTGAGGGAATTTACAGCCAGAGAAGGATGCCCTGTTTTGTTCTTTTTCTTAAATGTCTGTGATTAGTGAAAAGATTAGCAGTTTAGAGAAAGCAGGATGAGCATCTTTTATCTGACAGCACAATTTACCCATGTAGGGGCTTTCCCTGTGGAAGAAAGAAGAAGGACCATTACCCTCAGTTTTTACCACATCCGTAACGGCTCAGATCCGGAATGGCAGTGATTTTTGCCGTCCACTAATTCCTACCGGATCTGTTGAATTTCGTGAATTTTGTGATGGATTATGGACAGCAGAAATCACGAGAACTCACAAGAACCCGCGGATAACAAGTTGTCTGTACAAAGACTTTCACAGAGGCTAACCATATGAGCAGTAGATTGTGTTCTCCCAGAGGAGGAAATCCACCTCTAGACTTCTAAAATCAGCATCTCCTCATCCATGGTGTCATCGGGGTGAACTGTTATCTAAAGACCTTTCACTTGTTCGTCTCTGTATGTTTGCATGGTGTGAAACACGATCCACCTGTTTTATTTTGAAAAGAAGCGGGGTGTTTTATTTTGTGTCTGTGCCTGACTTCCTTTCCAGCACAGGTTAATCGGTGCTGAATGTATCCGGCATGCTCCAGCGTCCGGAAAAAATAGAACTCTTGCGATCAGCTGTGGAGTCCGGCGATCCGCAGCGGAACGGAAAAAAGCTGGTGGAAATTGACAGATTAACTTGAATTGTTACGATCAGCTGCGATTCGTAGTCGTTCTGGATGCAGTGGAAATTGGGGGCTACAGGAGCTTTGACTGTCATGCTATTAGTTTAAAGTTATGAACTGGGTTCATGTAATCCTGTCTCTCTCTGATTGGGTGCAGTCGTACGCTAACCTGACCTGTCTTCATCTACCTTCATATGACCTCTCCTCAGAGCAGGAAAAGTTTGCTGCTCCTCTTTGCCTTAACCCAGTTCAGATCCACAGAAGCGGGCAGATGTTGTTGGCTGATAAGTCACCCCCTGACACTGGAGCACGTTGGCAGGCAAACATCCCCTCCACTGGAATGCTTATGAGCTCCAGAGGTGCTAACCTCATTATTACCTCATGTGCCCTTATTTTTCTTTTTTCTTTTTTTTTTCGGCTTGCCCAATGATGGCATGAGAAGCCTGTAGTATTGGTCTGTCCTGCACCTTGAAGCGCCCTTCTCTATCTTGTTTTTACCCTTGTGTTTCACTGCGAGAGAGAGGCACACAGTCAGGATGCTGACATCGATTAAATCGATTAAAGCATACAAAAGCAATTTCATGTCTCGGCCCACAGCTTGAGCAGCAGAGCCTCCGCAGCAGACATTTCAAGTGCGCATACAATCATGTGAAATATGTGCGTAGATTTAAGACATCAGAAAGTTAAAGGTATGCCAGAGGAACAAAGCGGTTTTTGCTGCCTGCTTCACTTCCACACTTCCTGCTCTAACAGCCTGTGTTTGACCTTCACTGCTCCTTCCTCTTTTTCTTTTCGGAGTCCCTCGCTCGTCCCTTTGCTCACTCTCCAGTTTCCCTCCTCTGTCCCTCTGGCGCATCTCCAAAAATGTCAGCGTTTCCTATGTTTGTCCTCCTCCAGCATCAGACCTCGTCATCACTATCATGGCGCCTGCACAGCATCAGATCAGCACTTCAGACGTGATGTGTGGACAGGACTCTGAAAATCTCTGTTTCTCTCCTCCTGCTTTCCAAACATTTTCCCTCCTTTTTATGTCAGTCTGTCTCTGTCTGTGTTTGGTTTAATTGCTCTCTGAAAGTGTCTCGCGGAGTATTCCTTGATGAGATGAGAACAGAGGAGGCTCTCAAAGCTGATTTGTGGATCTGACTGTCAAAAAGAGAGACTGTCGAATATTTCCACTAGACGACTTTTTTTTATTCACATTCCCTCAACTCAGAGAGTGTCCTTACTGCTTTTGTCGACCTTGAAAAGATTAAAAAAAAAATCGTATTGCAGCCTGTGTAAGCATAATTATTGTGAATTTTGGTGAAGATTCAGTGTGTGGGATGAAACCCCAAAAGGATGCAAATCAAATTCTAAATAAACACTGTAGAGGAAATTTAGATGTTGAAATTAGAGGTAGGATTCACTAGTCGCCCCGCAAGACGATATTATCACGATACCATTGTATTGCGATCTGAAACATTTTGCAATACAGTGAGTATCATGATACAATATATTGGGATTTATACATTTTTTTTCAACTGTTAATCTAATTTAGCATTTGTCCTTCATTTCTGTTTGTCTTATTTACACAGTATTTTATTTTCATGTAGCACATCTTGCAAACCTTATATATGTATATTTTTTTGTACTGACTTTCTCCTTCTCTATGATGTTACCTCTGCAAACCTTACTGGACAAACAGTTGATTTTATTTTTCCATTTTTATAGATTTTATATTGGCAATTAATTTGAAAAATTGATACCTGGTGAATGAGGCGATACGATATATCACCAGACAAAGTATCGCGATACTATGCTATATTAATTTTTTTCCCGCCCCTTGTTGAAATTATGAAAAATATAAGAAATGTTTAATTATAATATAAATTTTATGATATTTATGATAGTTTAATTTTAAAAAAAAGTCTGTATTTACTTTATCAAGGCTAAAATGATGCCAAGTCAATAATCAAGTGTTGCTGTTTTGTTTCTTTATGTTTCTCAGTTGTCAGGCTTTAAGTATTCAGTTTTCATGTTTTTGCCTAAGCTCACAGAAAAACCAGGAACTGAGTCGGGGTCTGACAGTCCGTTGTGGACCTTCAGTTTAAGAGACTAAATTTGCTTTTCTCTTTAGACATTTAAAATTCTCAAAAACATGATTTTCAGTGTCATAAATGTTATGGACAATGCAAATGAATACCACAGCTCTGTTTCAGCTGATGATGCTGTATGCCCACAGAACAGCGTAAACCCGGCTCTAAACAGCTGATACTAGAAGGCACTGCTGATCACTCTCCCTCCCATGCCTTTTATACCGTCGGTACATGATACGCTGCAGTGGCCTGCCTCTGCTGGAAAGAGGGAGGTTCCCAGGGGTCCGATTGAATAGCTCACACTTTGTTGTTAAGTTTTGATTTATCAATTGTGGCTAGTATCAAACCAATATTAGGTATTTGATCGCGTTTGTGGCCAAGAAAATGTGTCCTTGAATGCTCGTATAGAAGCTTCAGATGTGAACTTCAGTCTGTTAAATGAGCTGCTGAAACTGCTTTAATCCAAAAACATCAAATTTTCCTTGAGTGGTATTAATATTTCAATTTCAACATCTGAATAGATTATGTATCTGACATCCTGACTAATCCTGACACCAAGTCCAAAACTCACAGATGTTGTCATCAGACTCCTTCGGTCCTCACATTCGCCTCCATCGACTCGTGAAGATTTGATCTCCGTCAACAGTAACTGAAACCCGCTCAGAGACTTTAATAAATGATTTCATTTACGAAGATTATTCTGAGAAATAATCCAATCTTATCCCCTATCAGGTTGAACCTTTCTCCTTTCACGTAGTTTAAAAAGTGGAAAAAGTGAAGTAGCATTATCAAAACAAGAGCAGCCAGATAAGCAGTAAGCATGCTTATTTAGACAGACTCGGGCCAATAAAACTCTGCAGCAGCTTCTTCACCTTCTTCATCACACCTTTCCGTCTCCGTCGTATCAAACTCCTGAGTCCGCTAAAGATCTCTTTGATCTCTCTTGATTCCACACATGGCGTCCCATCGGTGTGTGGGTAATGCAAAGTAGTTTGCTTCAGTTTTGGCAGAGCTCACATTTCGCATGTTAATTCATTTAGCCTTGGGGGTGTTGAACAGCCATTTTGAAGAGTGAATGAAGCAAGACGCAGGAGTTGAGGGAAAGTCAGGAGGCAGCCAGTGCAACACAGAACCGGCATCAACCTCTTGTGACAGCTCTCATCGCAGAGAGGAAGAACGTGTGATCAAAGGCACCTTACCTACCTGCTGTCTGTCTGTCAGGAGAGAGGAATGCAGCTCTGCGTGTGCATGTTACTGTGTGTGTGCGTGTGTGTGAGTTTTATACTTCAGGGGGGAGATGACAGCATGAAAGAGAGCTCCACCGGTTTCTGTAGAGTGGAAAAAGCATCTGATGGATTAAAGGGTTATCTGTCTGTAAGCAAAAAGGAGGTAGTGATGTAGAGGGAGAGGACAGAAAGCGGCGAGCTGTCAGGTTCGGTGCCAGTCTGAGTGCAGGAAACAGCTGATGGTGCTCGTGACAGGAAGGAGGGTAGGCTGTGATGGGGACATCGGCGTATCAAAGGACGGGGGTTTTTTGGGGAACAACAGAGCAGAAAGACAAGGACTTTTAAGAGAGATACGAGGAATGATAGGATGAAGGAGTAATCATGAGTGATGATAGTGAGTGCAACTCAAGGGGAAGTGTTTTAGCTTCGTTTAATCCTGAATTTTAGAGCTGGTGTTGTAACTGCTGATGCGGAATAATTATGCGTAAAACTGCAAATGGAAATGTCAGAGATAAATCCTGAGCAAATTCATAATTACAATGTCAGGTAAGAGTTTTCTCTTACAACACAAACTGCGTTGTGTTTTCAGATAAAGGGCTTCGTTTGAATCATACAAGACAGAGCTGTCAACTCATAACAGAGCTGTCACCTCGCTGTGGTTGTTCCTCCGCTCTAATTGATTTCCATGTGGGAAGAAATCAGTATTAGAGACAAACTTAATCACCTGATGCCATTTTAACTAGGCACTAGTGACTGTTTGAGGAAAAAAGGTTCATCAGGCAGCGTTGACAAGAAAAACGGGGATTGTAAAATATGTACCACCAGCAGCAGTCACCTTTGATGTTATAACTGATCTGTGGTTCAAGTGCTCAGCTGAATGAATCCCAGATAATTGCGTTACAGCTGATGGACTGATTGGTTAATCATTCCCCTCTTCAGTGCTCATTTTATCAATTGGATTTGAGAACCTGCTATTGAGAGATGTGGATCTGATCAAGGGCGGGAGCAATTTGTCTGCCCAATGATCTGATGATGCATCGCCTGAATAATGTAACCTAAAATGTGGAGTGTAAATTACACTCAAAGGAGTCTGTTTTGGGGGGTCTCTAGTGCCTGTGACAGCTCCACCTAGAGCCAAACCATCCTCCTTAGCAGGTTCCTTGTCTTGAATTGAGGAGTCTTAAATCCGTTTGGGTATGAGCCTCAAAAATCCAATATACTCCATCATGGTGTTGCCAGACCCATCAGCCAGCTCATATTCATCTTCGTTGGCAGGGTGGTTTGGACCTGCTGCCATTCTCAATGATTTCCCTTCACTCTCAGACATACCAGACCTATTTATCTGAAAATGGGGCAGGCTCTACAGGATGATGATGTGGGAGTGATGCTCTTGTCTTTTTGTAAACAACCATGATGGTAACCTCTGTTGGTGGAAGGTCTGTTGAATCTGCTGTTGCAGCTGTATTTGTATCTAAGAGGCACTTTTGGTGCTAATACCCTTGTGGAAATGGAAATGAATTTAACAGATCCAGACACATTCATCAAGCTGAATTAGTCACCAAGGTGAATTGGTCTCTAGGGTGAATGGGTCTGGTGACGTCAGGCTTGATATCTGGGGGCGTGTCCCAAAGGCAGCAGTGGCAAAGGTACACACTGATTAGTATCACTTAAACTCTCTGTCTTAACTATCCTCTTGAATGACAAATAGTACGTTTACATGAAACTCGAGAAAAACAAATTATAGCTTTACTATGATTAAGACCGGACAACTGAAGTGCATGTAAACACCTTAGTTTGAGAACTCCAATTGGAGTCGGAGAACTCTGATTAAGACACCCAGAAAATGCGATTGTAATTCGATTTTCTCTACCACGTAACCAGCGTAGTTGGAGTATGATTGGACAATGCATGTGTGTGTGCACCACGCCCCCGTAACCCCGGAACAAAAACGAGAGAAGAGGAGTCGCGTGCACCTCATCTGCAGAAAAAGTAGCGTGTACATCATGTACGACAAAAACAACGCTGTACGATGCTTCATCTTCTTGCTCGAAAATGACCCATATCGCCCCCTAGTTTTGGGGAGGAGGACATGTTCACGTCAATAATTCAATTTTCTCAGCTGCATGTATACCCCCCCAAAAAAATAAATTATGAGCCATGAGTCCGATTTAAAGCACTGACAGTTTTGGTTGCAATAAAAGTGTTTGGCTCACAAGCACTAAAGAGCGGCAAAACATAAATCTTCTCAATTTAATCCCTTAAAAGCTTGAAGAGAAAAAGGTTGTTCAAAGTCAGAAGTGAGGGCACTAACAAAGGAAAATGTGCTACACATTAAAAATAAAGAAAGAGACTGCCAGCCTGTTCACACGCTCTAAAGTAGTCAGATTTATAAATCCTGCTTATGGCTGGGAAAATTGCCAATCATAAATCAGGATTTTGGAAAACAACATTTTAAATTGGGTGCACTGCCACCTCTGGACCCCCCTCTGGACATGCCCCTGACTTTTTCAGTCGTGCTGTGATTGAAAGGACAGAAACATTTATTTACACAATACAAAGCTATCAGAATGATGTAGCCATTAGCCGCCTCTGCCACAGGAAGTTAGCGTGAAGCACCAGAAGAGTGCATTTGATAAAAGGTCTGTGAGGTTTGCTCTTACAGTCTCTCCAACAATAGATCCTGTCTTTAATCATTAATGGCCCTAATAGAGTTGAGCAGGAGGAAGCTCTGTGTTATATACCCACTGAATGTGCAGCTCACTTTGTACTCAAACAGGGACGGAAAACTTTGATCGCAGGCCGGCACGGCTGCATGTGTGGCTTTCAAAGGAGGTGAGCTAACCACCTGAATTATGATGTTCTTGGTGGCGAAATGTTAGCAAACACGCTGCATGTTTCACAACCAGCCGTTATGAAGCTACAATATCTAAAAGCAATGGATATGTTACATACAGGGCTGTTTTTACATCAGAGCGCTTAAAATGATAGAGGTTAAAAAAGTGTTAATCATATGTCAGAATAAAGTGCAGGCTGCCAGTTTGATGTTTAGTGATAATGCATTTAGATTTTCTATTTTTGGTTATTCAGGTGCGGCTGCTTTGCTTGGATGGATGCAGCTGTCATGTTTGTTTATATCATCATTTACATTTACACAAACAAACCCACAATATTCAGCTTTCTCTGACAGAAAAGAGGAAGTGTTTGCTTGTTAGACAATTTCTGAAAGCCTGTATTAGCCTGTAAACCTTCAGTCACAGCTGGGATTATCTTCTCATTATGAGTGCTGTAGTAGATTAATTTAGAAATAGTACGTTTTTACCAACGACACTGAAGCCTTAACTAAATCTCTTGAAGTACATATTTGCATTTCTAAAAGTCAAGCTCTCAAGTAATGAAAACAAAGCTTTAAAAACAGCCAAGTACTATGTATGTAATCACACTAAACATCATGCTGTTATAATATCATAGTGCACTATCATTTTGCACTTACCAGAAAAACTCTGTCTGAAAGGGGCGCGTTCATTGTATACATGCATAAAAACATGACATAACAGCCCAGATGACTAACTGGCTCCCCTGCGTTGGCATAGCAACCAGCAGAGCTCGACTGTACGCATAATGATCAGCACTGGAGCAAATCTGGACCAGTCAGGTTGGTTAATTGAAGCTGTCTTTTTACGTTGTGCAGCTGCAAAAAAAAAAAAAAAATTAGAGATTTGTTTTACTGCTTGAAAAGTTCTCTGTCTTCCCTCTTTTCTGTTAGTTTTTTCTTTTTTTTTTAACTTGTAAACACATAATTTTGAATGTACTTCACCCACCGTCTTGCTCTACTTCACAGTTGAAATATTGTGGTTTTAATCAGCGTCTGTCCCCGCACGTCTCCTCATATTTGAATGTCATGGCCACAACAGATGCGTCATGTTTTCCATTTCGTGCGTGCTCTCGGTGAAGTAGGTCAAGAGATGGTGTCTTTGGAGAATAATTAGAAAGTTAATGAAAAGCAAACTTGATCCAGGTCAAGGTGGCACACGTACCTTCCCCTGATCTACGTGTGAAGTGATGTTAAAAGCTCTGTTGCACCCCTGCACAAAGGGGTTGTTTGGATAACCCAAAAAGTAATCCTGACTTTGGTCTAAACATTAAGGATCCTAACAGGCAACATGAAGGAAATGTCTAAAAGTACATCAGCTGCAGGACTGAAATACCCAACCAGTGCTCTCTGCTGGCATGCTTATCTCTGGTGAGGGAAGTGTTAGTTCTATTGGATAAATATTAAAGAGAGCCGGTTTTGAGGAAAGAAAATAAAAGTCCAAAATTGAGTTAAAAAGCTCCTAAAAACAGATTGCAGTAATGCGCCATCCCCCACACATTTAGGCACACAACCTCACAGACACGCTGAGATTACAAGTCCTTGCCTCGGGCTTTGTTTCTCATATCTCATCATCAGTCAGCCGCTGTTACATAACCCCTATCTGTGTGAATGTGTGCGCACAAAGGAAGTCCATTTCATTTAGACTGCACCAAATATTAACAGAAGTTATCTTTTCATGCAGAGCAGGTCTAGACTTTTCTCTGGAGGGAACACACACACTCACACAAACCCCTCTCTTTATATTATTTTATTAAATTTAAAGTCAAAGTGAAGCTTTTTAATATCAAATGTTTTCCTGTGAGCTTGCTCGCTTTGTGACATCTGAGGAAGTGAAGCTGCAACTTCTAATTTATGCATGCAGCCTGTTCCATCTCGCTCAGATACTCTCTAATGTCCCGCTTTTTTCAGTCTGTTTTTAATTAAATAAAACAATAGCACCATGATGGAATTTGTGCGCTAATGGAGGCTAATAATTGCAGTAAGTCTTGATGCGACTTCAGAGCTTGCAAAGCTGTTTTATTTACTCGGTTTGACTAATTAATAAATTTGGCGTGCGTCTCTGAGGCTCCTCTTTCCCTTCTTTTCACTCTTGTTTTGACAGGCCACAAGCAGTTCATTATGCCTACTATTTAGAAGTAGTGTATGGTCATTTAAATTAGCTGAATTTGAAAGGATACACAAGGAAGAAAACTGTCCACAAATATAGTCAGGGACTGCTGATTTATGAGGGATTTAGCTATCAAGCGATGCAGCTGCATTCTTCAGTTTATGGTTGAATTTTTTTGCAGATTTAATGGACCAGTCAGAGCAGACTGTCTGCTGAATCCACCTGGCTTCTTTTAAACAGACCGCAGTCTGCCTAATCAAGCCCCCCTGCTCTCCAAACTTCATTCATACTGTCAGGAATCCACACTGACAGCAGTGGTGAACCTTCCTATATAGGCTACCTATAAAGCTTCTCTAATATATTCCCACAGGAAGGCTTTCCACTGTAATTTGTTGACTGCTGCAGTGGGTCTAAAGAGCAGCAATACTCCTAAATGCACTTATAAACACAGGCACACATTAAAACACACGCACACACACACACACACATACACACACCATCGCCTTGAGAAAGACATAAGAGTGGTACTCAGGGAGGAATAATTACAGATGGCATTGAATTTCCTGCTCTGCATCGTGCACAAACAGCATTTAGCCAAGAGGGTTTGCTTACTGCACATGTTTAAACCGTGGCACTACTTGGCAGCAGAGTTGCATTATTGTGATGTTTCTGAATGTCTGCAGACGAGGGAGGGAGGCTTATTGCTCATCACTTCTTATCCCTTCTTGATTCAAATTTCCTTTTTTTAAAGTAAAAAGTAACAAGTTCGTAAAGAACAAGTCTGAAAGTCTTAAATATCTGTAGATAGGGCTGGACGATAAAACAATAATGATATATATTGAAAATTAATTTCCCTCAATATCAATATAAAACATGGTCAATATGCTTTTCGATAGTCGTCATTCTGCCATGTTTTGGTAGACTATACGAATAGCCAGTGAAAAGGGAGTTTCTCTGGGTCTGCTTCGTGCTGAACCAATCATGTGCTGAATTAGAACCAAGTAGCAAACAACTGCATAGTAGCAGGCTGCAGCTTCACGCAACCATAGCACTTTAACACGCCTGTGCAGCCAAGACAGCCAACCATTTAGTTCGCTTTCTCTAGCGCAATGTCTTATCATAGAGACACAAAGACCTCACAGATGCAGTTGCTTATTGTTTTGCAAAGGACATGCTACCAGTAAGCACTGTTAAATTTCATTTTTTATATTGTGATATATCGATATTGACTGATATGAAAAAAATATATCATGATAAACTTTTGCCCATATCGCCCAGCCCTAGCTGTAGATAATTTTTGCTTCCTTTGTCCATACGCTGCGATTGATACCTGAGTGTAACAAGGCATTGCTTTGGGGTCCCTAAAATCCAAGCTGTGTTGAAGTAAATGCTTTGTCATATTAGATGAGCCTCCTCCATGAGATGTCTTAGTCATACCTGTTTTACTTTGCTGCATCAGTATCTTTTTTAGGAAAGCATAGCCAAACTTGTGATTGTTTGCCACGGCTCACCATTATTCTCTCCTTGCAGCTTTGTTGACACACAGCAGCACAAATGACATACTGTTGTGCAGACGCAGAAGGTCCAGGCAGATGCATGCTATTTCTTTCAGCTTCAACCCTGAAATCTCAGAAATTCAGTTCAATTGAATACCCAAACCTACCAGACACATGTGAAGGACGCTTGTGTCTAACAATCTTTCCCTTGTTGACACACAGCAACTTTCATGTGTAAGCTGACTGATACCAGGACTCCTGGGAGCTTTCAGATGCTCCCACTGAGAAGTTTGCTTCCTCTGTTGCCTCCCTGGCTCTGAGTGAAACTAGTTGTTGAGGAGGACATGGTGTTTGTATGCATAAGTAATTGACTGTTAGCCTGAAGATATGTGTATTTACTGCATGTTTATGCATGAAGTACTGCTCTGCCTGTACCTGGAGCTGTTGTATTTGTTACAGAGAATAGGTTGTAATTGAATATTCCTCCCTGAGTCGGCTGTGAAAGCTCATTACCTGCCCCTCTGCGCAGGAGAGTCCTGGGAGAAGGAGCAAGAGCCCTTAGGGGAAAAAAAAGAAAAAAGAGGAGGAAGAGTGAGTTCAGAGCTTGATCCGGTCCAAATCAGAATTGAGGGAAAAGAAGAAAAGTGAGCTGTAGAGATACAGATAGATGACTAACAGTTGGGTGTTGCTCCATCATGAACTGCCAGACCAGCTTCTTTCAGTGTTATGTAACTCTGTTTTCAAGGATTTTCTGCTGATATGTCACTTTCTTCTTCTGGAGGTGTGTACAACTGTCGGACTGGCAGTGTTTCAGAAAACGCTGTGATGTCGTGCAGCAGTAGACAACAAAGTGAGGACGTTTGAGTACCGTTTTTTATCTTCCAGGTGCCGAACTTTGACCTTGGCTTATTCTGACGACCTTTACAACCACATTACTATAACACAGAGAGTCTAATGTCCTCTCTGTGCCAATGTGTGCTGTTGCTTTTAAACTTAAGATGATTGCTGTACTGTATATAACACTTTAGTATGGACCTTGCGTACTCACAGATTAGGCTTATACCAGTACTGCTGTTGGATTGATATCCTGATACCATTAGGACATACAGTATAAGATACCTAAACTGCTATTGCAGGGTTTCCCTTATATGCAATTTAGCGTGGCGCACCACCACGGCTAGATAAAAGGCGGTACAACATAAAAAATGAATTTTTTTATTCCGTGGTTCTTCGTCAGTCTCATATGGTCAAATAATAATACCAGTAGATCAAATACCAATACCAGTAGACCAGAAACTGATACCAGTGAAAATGATACTGACAACTAGTATATTAAAAAATTATAGTGCATAAGAAACTAGTATCAGTATAACAGAAATTGATACCAGTACATTAGACACCAATACCAATATATCAAAAACTGATACCAGTGTAACAGATACTGATACTAGTGTATAAAAAAACTACAAACCAATACTTGTAGATCAAATACAAATACCAATATATCAAAAACTGATATTAGTATAACAGATATTGATTCTAGCATAATAAAACAACTACACACCAATACTTGTAGATCATATACAAATACCAATGTATCAAAAAGTGATACTAGTATAACAGGTACTAATACTAGAAACTTAAACAATTATCGTGTAGGAGAAACAAATGCCAGTAGATGAACAACTAATACCAGTATGATCTATACTGATGCTCGTATATAAAAAGAGATTGTGTTGTTTGGGATTACGGTCATTTTGACAGGAGTCACATGACCCATATATTATAAAAACGCAATGCTTTGTTGTCATGTTTTAGGGGTTGGAAGTCACTGATGTTCACAATATGTGGTGTTATTATTGTTATTGCAAGTCTCAAATGATCAAAGGTTAACCTGACGTTATGCTCTGCTCATGCTCGACTTGTTATTGTTTTCTTTACTTTTTAACCTGTCAGTCGGTCTATTAAGATTAACTTTTTATGCAAATGTCAGGGAAATTAGTCATTTGAGACGTCATTTCTAGGAAGGAAATAGAAAGCTGAGGAACCAACGAAGGATGGAATGAAGAGAGAAGCAAATAGAGAGAGTGAAAGATGTGCAGGTTTGTGATTAGAGGAAAGAGACAGAGTTTACCTTGTTTAATTGAAGCTGGCTCAGAGCCTGTTGTTATTCTGGCCTTGTACATCCCTCCACTGTAAGCTGTGCAACGAGAGAGAGAGAGAGAGAGAGAGAGAGAGTGAGTGAGAGAGAGAGAGTGTGAGGGAGAGAGAGTGAAAGGTAAGGGGAGGGGGGGATTGCTGCAAAGAGGGGAAGACAATGCGATGTGACACAGTAGGAAAACAGGCAGCAGGGGGGGAGGGGGGTCTAAAGCTTCCTTGTAGGTGTTATCAGGTTAAGCCACCCACCAGTGGCTGTCTCCATGGTGACACCATGGTAACAACCAGGTGTTCAACTAGGAAAGAGCAGGACCTTGCTTATGTAAAGGGGCTTCCTGCTCTCGTTATTTCTGTCTCAGGTTCTGTGTCTGTACAGGTCTCAAGAATATAAAAGTACAAATGACTTTAAATCCCATCGATTCAGCCTCTTCAAACTTCTGCTTTTCTTTTCTCGCCTCATCTTTTTTTTTCAGATTTATTTCAAAGTGCAAGCAAACTCTATGAGGGACAGAATGTGTGTCTGAGGTAACCAGTCAGTGTAATGCAGACTATTATCTTTATTTTTTTATGGATAATTTATCGGGTAAAAATTACAAGAAACGAAAAGTTAAATGTCAAAATCCAGATTCCAGCTTTAAAAATTAAATTTCTTTATCTTAGTTCTTCACTCCTTAATGACGGCTAAAAAAAAAAAAACATTTACATGTCTACAACAAAAAAAGACATTTAAGGAAATTATCTTGCATTAATTATTACAAAAATCTAAAACGAATCAAATTATGCATAAAGATAATTAACAAATTTACTACTAATAATAACAACAACGTGATAGTCTCTTGACTTTCTGTATTGCATATGTACAGTGTTTGTGTATAGACAGCGGTTATTAGATCTCTTGTAGACTGTCTGTGTTTGGGGTCAGTGTTGAGATCAGTGTGTGCATGCCTCGTTTTGCATGCTTGTGTGTACTTTGTGTGTTTGTGTGTGTGTTTATGTTTCTGTATTGCATTCTTAAACCTATAAGCTCATTTAATAACAGGCTTACAGAGATCTATGTTACAATCCGTTGGCGTTAGCTCTGTTACATCACTGCAGCCTCCTATGTGTGCGAGTGTGAGCTTGTGTATTTGTGTGTATGTGTCCACGTGTGTCTGTGTTACTGAGGTGGGGCCTGGGGGGGTTTGTGGTGTAGAGGGCTAACAGACTCCCTGCACATGGAAACACACTAGGAACAATGACACACACGTGCTTGTGCCATGCCGTCACTTCAGGCAAGACACACACTAAGCACACAAAGGCAAACACACACAGACCCCCCCACACACACCCACTCATATACACGGATCTTTACCCTCGCTTTGAAATGCATATAATAAACACATACCAAGCCGAAATCTCAGATCTACAGCTCAGTTTCATGCATTAATAGTCCGAGATGTAGAGTATCTCACAGTTGTTGAGGATATTTGGGTGATTTAGGGCCACAGATACACAAAAAAAATAGAATACTCAACAACACACATTTGTCTGACTCTTCTTTTGTGGCTCTCTGTCCTTGTTGCTTTTGTCTCTGCATCCACCCTCTAAAACTTTTGTTTTATGTGAAGACATGCTGCATAAATTAGCAAGGCAGCATCCTGTGGGCTTCTCATTTCTATTCTAGTGCAGGACTATGAGCGAATGAACCTTTCTCTCTTTTTTTTCTGACAGTAAAGGTAAATCTTTTTGTTTTGTTGGAAGCTAACTTGCGTCTGGATGTCCGTGTTTCTTGAGTTGTTTAACAGTGAGAACTTAAAATGGTCTCATTTATAAATAACAATCTGACTGTGCGTGGTGTTTTAAAGCCAGAGAATTTAATAGTGTGATTACATCGAGGGAGTTATCCTAAAGAGACATTAAAAGTTTAATACTCCAATAAAGAGCCACAAAGTTAACCATAAAAATGCATTACAGAATGAAACGGTGATCATAAAAATGTCATTAAAAATGTGGATGGCATTTATCTTTGTGTAGTATAAATGGAAAAAAAGCTGTGCAGATGATCAAATTAAATAAAAGATAAACAGAGGGGCAAAGGGTTACAGCGTCACAACTAAAGCTGATGAGGTGACAAACGCTGGGCAAAACAATGAAGAGTGAAACAGAAAAGAGGGAAGAGGAAAAAGAGGAAGTCTGAGAGACAGATGGGAGATGATCCTGCAGAAGGACACTCCTTAGGGTTTTCATATCCTTCTCCTGTTTCCTTTTGAATAACTGAACTCGAACCTGCTCTGAGTTTAATGTGTTTAAAGTGACGTATGGGGCTCAAAGTGTAAAACACTGTATGTACTTCATCAATCTCACGTCCAATTCTGTCTTGTTTTCTATCTGTTGCAGATAAACCTGCGACTTATTCTAGTCAGCGGGAAGACAAAAGAGTTCCTCTTTTCCCCCAACGACTCGGCGGCAGACATCGCCAAACACGTCTACGATAACTGGCCAATGGGTGAGTTCTGCATTTTCAAACCTCAGATTTTTACTCTGGTGGTGGTTGAGAGAGAAGCGGGAGTTAAAGAGCTTTTGCTTTAAAATCTTTTAAAAAAGTAACAAAGTGTGGCTGTTATAAAGCAAAAAAAAAAGTCAAATACAAAATAATGTAAAGGTTTAAGTTCGACATGAACTCGCCTGGCTTTGAACAATTTTGTTCTCTTTGTCAACATTTTCTGTCAAATTTATTCATAAATCACGTGGAGCATTGCAAAACTCCCTTAAAAGAGAAATGCTGATATTGTCTTTTTATATTTACTATCCTGTTTTCTGCTTTGTTATTGCGTTTCTTTTCTCTTACCTATTTTATGTAGGGTTCTTGTATTGTCTGGGTTCCTTATGACCAATGAAATTGGCCTTCAATTCTGAGGCCTTGTTTTAACTGAGCTTTTGTTTTTATTAGTTTTTATTTCCATGTGCTGGCATTCTGTGCTGTATAACTATTTGTCAAAGCACTTTGTAAACTTCTGTTTTTAATAATGCTATAGAAATAAAGTTATTATTATTAATATTATCTTTATATTTTCTATTTAGAGTGAAATCTGTGCGTTTCAATCCTGCACAAGTAAAGAAACAGGACAGCTTTTAGCAGATGCAAGATATTCCCTATTTCTCAGGCAAAAACAGACCGACTTAACAACGACAGTTTTGTTTACTGGGAGCCAATGTTGCTTCTTTTTATGCAGTATGAGCTGTACGATGTGGTGTTAATTGAGAGGCCCTTGTGCTGTTAAGAGTAGTTAATGCTAAATATGGACATAGATGGGTATTTTATATGTGCAGGATATTTTCTCACTTTCTTGATTCAAATCGTTCAGGCCCCGTTTTGTATTTTGTAATGCATCACATTGCATAAGCACAGCTGCAGTGTGTTTGCATGAGCTGTAATTGCTTACAACTCAGCTGCTAATGCACTTGGAAAGCAGAGGAACTGACCAAGCTTGACTGTGTTTTCATTTTCTATAACTCCGATAAAGGCGGATGAGTGCTTATAGCAGGTTTCCAGGGAGCTGAGATCACATTCAAACCTATTACTAATTACGTGCATGTAGTTCTGCGGTGCTGTGTGGGAAGAAACAGCCTTTGGTGTTGGATAATAAGAGTGGACTCCTGCTTTCAGTGTGATTATCATTGCATACAGGAATGTGGGCTCGGAGTACAGCCACCTCCTCTCTGTAATACACCCACTCCCTAAATGCTGCTGCTCCAATCTCGACCTTACACCACCTTCAAATCTGAACAGACTGTTGCCTTTTCCCACGGTGCTCCGACTGTAGCCCGCTTTATGGGCGGCCCACAGCGCATGAAAGACTATAAATTATGCCGATGGATGCAGATTCTGCTCGTCAAGAGGACGTCTGTTTTGGAAGTGCTTCGCGTTCCTCCCAGACAACAGATCTGAACCCTGTGAGACCTGGAGCAGGCTCTCAGTCGGCAGCAACACCCTCTGCTTAGTCGGAGACAAACATCTGGTGGCCAGACTCTGCTGCTGTCTCTGTTTTCTCTCTCATTTAATGCCTTCACTTTTGTCTCCAGCCGTTTCTGAGCCACACCTCATGTTCCTCTGCGCTGATATTCCATAATGCATCCCACAAATCCCTCATACACATTTCTGCAGAGAACGATCTGAACTAAGGGCCCCTTGAATATCTTACAATACATCAGTGTGGTTGTTGGTGGTCCTTTTTTTTACCATGCACTGAAAGTTTAAGATGTAAAGCTTTTTGTCTTGAACTCAGACGGGATAACAATCATCTCCAAAATAGCCTGTTTTTGTTTTTTAACCTTTCCTTACATGTTTTTCTTTAAATTATTATTTTTGGGCCATTTTGCCTTTTATTGATAGGACAGGGTGAAATGTAGGGAGATAGAGAGAGATTGGGGAGGACTCCAGCACACGGTCGGAACAAGGCTCAAGCCCACGACTGCTGCAGGGACCGTGGTCCCCATACATGGGGCCCGCTAACCTGCTCAGCCATCTGCGCACCCCTCCTTACATTTTTTTATCCAAAACTGACCATACAAACTGTGAATTTTCAAAACAAGTTATGGAGTGTTAAAAAGGTTGTGTAATGCAGTTGCTGCCCGTGCAATTTCTCTGATATTATTATTATTATTATTATTATTATTTATTTTTTTATTCTTTTTTTAATTTTTATTATTATTATATTTTTATTTATTTATTTATTTACTTTCTTACTTACTTACTTACTTATCTATTATTATTATTATTATTATTTTTGTTTTATTTGTATTTATATTTTTTTATTAATAACGATATTTATTAATCTATTTGTTTATTTTTTATTATTTTTTATTTATTTACTTATTATTATTATTATTATTACTATTATTATTTATTTTTATTTTCTTTTTTTTTATTTACAAGGTTTGAACTCAAATTGAGCTAAAAGAAATAATGAGGATATTGAGAAAAATATTCTTACGAGCAAACTCTTAATGGGAAAACAAACAGTTTTAAACATTTCTCTCTCTGTTTTTATTTCTGTCTTTAACCCTTTATTTCCTTTTATTTCTCCTGTTTTTTTCTTTCAGATTGGGAGGAAGAGCAGGTAAGCAGTCCCAACATCCTGAGGCTGATCTACCAGGGCCGTTTTCTACACGGCAACGTAACACTAGGAGGTGAGAAAACACAGACTGTATTTTTAAAAAAACCCTTACGTGCTCATAGACATGCATGCAAACTCACAGCAGTGTGTTGCTGGAAAGTTCTTTGCTGTTCTCATCCCTTTCCTGCGCCACAGAACAGAGGTACCTCAGTGCTCCGGACAAGCCTGCTTTGACTGAGAGAGAGGGAGGAGAGAGGAAATAGAGAAAAAGAGAGGAAAGAGAGTGGTCAGGAAAAGGGCAAGACTGGCGGTGGCAGTAGCAGCACAATGAAGAGACAGAAAGGCAGTGGGGGGCCGGACGGGGGGATGTCTTTTTTTAAGGCAACCCACTTCACTTCTCCTTTGGCTTTCAGGCTTTTTAGTAAACTCAGCCCAATTTATAATTGACTGGGGTTTTGGGGGTTTAAAGCCTTTTACACTCATCTCATTCCTGCCATCTATCTGATAATTCCCTTAACACTTGTTTAATGTGTTTGCAGACTGACACAAAATCCTCTTTGAGACAGGCCAAAACTCCTTCTAATTCTCCTGTCATACACAGTAGTTGCTAACAGTAATTGTGTGTGGTGTTAAATTTATATTTTATCTGAGATATTTACAGGAACTTAAAAAGTGGGAGGGAGCACAGTGGTTGTAGTGTGGAAATAAACATGAAGTGCTAATTTGGGAAGAACTATCCGCTCTCTGTATATTATAGATATTAAATTACTGCTACTTAGAAAAGAAATATTTATTTAAATATTAATTGAGATGAACTTTAACAGCACACATGGTTATAATCTGTAATTTCATAAAAAATGCAATGTTTAGAGCTGCAGTTTTACAGTCACTATTATGTCCGACTGTTAGCTAATTATCGTCTAATGTTGCTCGTTCCTCTCTTGATTGTAGCTTGATGGCGCAGAATATTTAACTGTTACAGAGAGCTGATTCAAAAGGCTACTGGTGGTTAATGACTTTGCCCAGACACATACTGTAGCTCACTGAATAACCTTTACATCCTTCCTTCCTTTCTCTCTGTATCTCTCTTTCTTTCTCTCTCTCTCTCTCCTCTGCCAGCTCTCAAACTGCCCTTGGGGAAGACCACAGTGATGCATTTAGTTGCCAGAGAGACTTTGCCTGAGCCAAATTCCCAAGGTAACCAGCTCCCCGTCTCTTTCTTCCCTTTCAGCGGACCTTTCACATGCCAGACTTTAAACGTTCTGCTCCCAGCCGTTATTTATTTCTGCGCATAGCTTCTGTTTTAGAACATCAACTGGTGCAAATAATTGGCTTACTTTTAAGTGTTTCCCTAAGATACAGCATGAAGTGCAGAATATACAACTGGCTACTTCATTAGCAACACCATGCGAGTACTTGCTCTGACCTTGCCTGTCTTTAGTTCCCTTAATTCTTTAAGTGATTTTTACACATTCAAAAGGTGATAAACAGTTCCTCAAGAGTTTGGTCCTTAATGGGATCATATCATCAAGCATTTGTTATAGATCTGGGGCAAGTTTCCTCTTCAAATCCAGCCCAAAGGAGCTCTGTTAGAGCTGAACCCAAACCCAGTTTACATATTTTTTAGGCATTTATGTATCAACTGACTCTACTCTATAATAATTTCTATACATGTCAGGGCTTGACACTAACTAATTAGTCGACCTTAGTACTATTATTTGAAATCAATTTTAGGTCAATTGGTCACATGACATGGAAGCTATTGAAGGAAAACAGCCTCTTTTGAGAACATCAACCAGTAATTTATTGATGGTCCCTTATTCAACACCCGACGTTGACAGCGAGAGTGTCGAGTAGATTTAGCCACGCTGCTGTTGCTACTCCTAGTTATGTCAGTGAGAAGAAACTGGTTGATTCGCAGTGAATGTCATCGAACATTCAACCTAAAACTAACTTCACCGCGGTATTTACATGAATAAACATTTGTTGCCTCGGCTAATTTTTTTTATGCGCATATGTTCCCCCAAATACATTTTACAATCCGCACACAGCATGTCTCTGCAAAACCTGCATTTCAGTCTCTTATGTTCATATAAATAACTCACCAAAACAATACAAATCACAGCATATCAGAGAAATCATTGTAACTGTGTGAAATATTGAACCTGTGTGCCACACTTTGAAGCAGCTGCTTAGACCTGAGTGTGATGTAATTAACATCCCCAAATGCTGATCTGATATACAGATATACCTATAGATATGTATGTAAAGATAATCTTATTTTTGGCCATGTAGAGTCTGTTATTGCTGGATGACGATGTTTATGCTGGCTTGTGTGTGTTTCCAGGTCAGAGGAATAGAGAGAAGACTGGGGAGAGTAACTGCTGTGTCATCCTGTAAATAAACACCTCTCTCGCCGGCCCTCCATCCTCCTTCATTATCCGTTCTTACCCCCATCATCCTGGACCTTAGAGCTCATCCCCTGTCCTGGAGCCTGTCCACAGTGCGGATATGCATACAGACATACACACACAGACACAGACACGCACACACACTTCTTCTTGCATTCTTTTTTAACCCCCCCTCAAACTCACACTTACATAGAGAGACAGCAGCAGGCTGGAGCTGATTCAGGAACAGATTCAGGAGCAGGAGATTAATTAACGACAGAGTTGATTCTGTTTTTGTACTTGATGTGTCGTCATAACTGAAAATAAGAGGAAGGAACTGGACTTGTGCATGTATTTTTTTCCTTGATTCTTTTTTTTCTCAATGCACACCTTGTTAAGCCTTCTGCCACACTCCTTCACATACACACACCCACCAACACACAAACCCTGTCCAGCCATCCTCAGCAGGTCTGTTAAAAGTCAGTCTCTAACCGGCTCCTCATCCTCCAGCTGGTTGTCATAGTAATGCAGTGCCCAAGTTTGTGTGTGTGGCCTTGTTTTCTCATACGGACTGCTGAGAATTTTAACCACTAACATCTCAACAACAACAACAACACACACATACACATACACTGTGACATCCTGTCCACACATCCAACCGTATGTGCTTGTGTGATCTCCCTCGGTGCAGCAGATGAAGCTTAGACGTGCCTGATCAGATATCTCAAACCACGACACACAAGCATTCTCATACAGTAAATACTCATACTGAAAATACACACACACAGACACAAACCTGTGTCCTTTTTACTGCCCCCTTCTGCGTGTGCCCTTAAAAGTCACAAGGGAGAAACAACTCTGTTCGCAGAGCGCTGTAGAGACAGCACACATGCCGCTCTTTCAGTCATCATATTTTTGCCAAACGAAGCCTAACAAACAAACAATTACACGAACAAACCGTTGTCTGCGGTCTTGTTCGGGTTATTTGTTTGTCCATGATTTTGTGACTGTGTTTTTGACAGTCCATGCATTTTACTGGCCGAGCAGTGTTGTGATTAAAAAGACGTCCTATCAGTTTTCTTCCCCTTCCCTCCTTCCTTTTAGGACAGCCTCCTGTAATCCTCCTTTTTTTGTTAACAGTGTTGTGAAGGATCTCTCTCGACAATTACTGTCCAAGCAGGGAAATTAACTCGGGATGAAAATGTTCCTCATTTGTCTTAATTTGCTCTCCTTAATCCTCTCTTTGCATTAACAAATCCATTTTGCACAACTGAAGCATGTGCTCCTTCATCAGATTAATAAAACTGTATAAAGGTTTTATTGTTTTATTTTATATTTTTCCAATGGAAGTAATGTTCCAAACAAACCAAGGTAACGTGTAGAATATATTTAATATGAATCTTATATAGAACATGATGACTCTAGATCTTGTTGCTATACAGTATATTGGTGTGTAGTCTATGATTGTGTATACGGTTAGCTTCTAGCCTGTTCACAGTCACTCGCTGACAATGTCTTGTGCTTAACAGCAGCAAAAAAAATTCCCTTATCATCAACAGACTGTATTTTTATTTTCTTCTGTGCTCTTTTACTATTATTTTTTCATTTGTTTATAATTTAATGTAATCCTTCTTTTGTGGGTTTTCTTTTTTTTTGCTCTCAAGAATCGCTTTGTAACAGCACTAGGTCTTAAAAAAAGAAATATTGTTTATATTGATCAGGGTTCAAATCTGTACAGAGATAAACGTTTTCAAACCAATTGTAAATAGCACTAATACCCCCTCTACCCCCTCCAAACTTCAAAATGGAATACATCTGTAAACTAAATAAAGGTTATTGAAGTGCACTGCTTCCTTTTGTCATGACTCCTCACACATAAGTCATAAAACTCTCACGTGTCACTTGATTTTTACAGCATTTTATTGTTTTCTAGCTGTGAAGTGATGTTCTGGGTTGGGCATTTCTTGATTGTACAGCACATGTTCAACTACCTGATGACTTAGTGGAAGGAAATTATAAATGATTCTTGACAGTCTGTGTGGGGACTGCAGATTTTCTTAACATTAGTAAGTTAACAGGTTTCAATTGGAGTTATGGAGTATTTTAATTTCTTAATTATAGACAAAACAACAATTGTGAGTAGGACTGGGTGATAAAACAATAACGATATATGTAGCAAATTAACTTCTTTCAATATCAGTATAAAACATGGTCAATATCCTTTTGGCTAGTCGGCATTCTGCAATGTTTTGATAGACTATATGGAAAGGGAAGTTGCTCCAGGTTCGCTTCACGCTGAATCAATCGTGCTGAATTATAACCAAGTAGCAAACAACTGCGTAGTAGCAGGCTGCAGCTACACGCAACCATAGCATTTTGACACATGAAACCGACAGAACTGTCGGTGAGAAAGAAATAAAATGAGTGCTACCCCCTGGCAGAAATGTAGATGAAGGCTCAACAGATGACGACATTGTCGACAACACTGACACAAAAACGTCGGTGGTGTGGAGGTATTTTGTTTTTTTTTTGAGGTCCGACATGAAGCAGAGTAACTGCAAATTATGTGGAGAACATGTTCTTGCAAAGTCGGGGAATACCTAAAATCTTTTTCACCACCTGAAGCTGCTTTCTCTAGCGCAACGCCTTATGACAAAACGCTGAAGAGACACAAAGACCTCACAGATGCGGGATCTTACTGTATTGCAAAAGACATGCTACCGATAAGCACTGTTAAATTTCAAACAGTAGGTGCTTACCTTACTTTGTTGATATCCTTTTAGGAGGGTTATCAACAATAGTCGCATCTTCTACTAACTTGTAATTAGGGTTGGGCATCGAGTCTCGAGCATCGATGGGGACTGGGATTAACATTACCGAGACGTCCCGGAATCGTCCCAGAATCGTCCAAGTTTTAAAATCTTAATTGCAAGTTCCGATGTTGGAGGTGATATTTTTGGAAGGATGGTAGGGGAAAGTCCCACCTCCTTTGCCTCTGACTGGCTAGAAAAGCTGGAACGGGGGCTGTTGGCTCTGAACATCGAACAGAACATTACAGAACATTATCGCACTTTTGAATCTCCTAACCCTAACCCGACACACAATGACATTTCACAGCCATAAGGAATAACCAATCAAAGCCCAGCACTTCTAGCCAATCAGAGGCGAAAGAGGGCGGGACCTTCCCCTACCACTTACAAAAATTTTCGCATGCTGGAGTCCACCGACCGGAAGAAATAGCCGCCGAACACCAACGAAGAGAACGCCGCTGAACACCAACGAGGACGATGCGTGTGAGACAAAACCACACACACACAGAGAAGAGAAAGAGAGAGCGTTTGGCTAACTTTAGCAGGAAGAATGAACTCTTATCTCCGTAGCATTAGCATCTCATTAGCAACACAGTTATATCATACAAAGGAAGGTACACGACCAACATGATTAAACACCTCAGGATTCATGGAGGAGAAATACCTGAGTGCCCGTCTTTGACGCGCTTCGCCGGTCTTCCGCTTACCAGCCAAAGTCAGATAAGTAAAACAATAAATTACTTGAGTCTTCTGCTAACTTTGAAGCGGCAAACAAATTGTACTGTGTACGGTGGGTCAACTTTGTTAGCTAACGTTAGCCCTCGTACTTTTTCATAGACAAACGACCTGACAACAAAATTGATATTTATATACTGGTTGAAAACAGCCCTGAGAGAAATTCATAGTAAACTTCTCTATAAAGTTAATATAATTCAAAAATTCATGGAGAAGTTCAGAAATTTCATTGAACAGAAGAACTCTTATTTAAACCATGCATTATTTTTTAAATGTCCCGCCTTTTAAAAGAATCGGAATCGAAACGAGGAATCAGAACCGGAATCGTTCAAAATCAAACGATATCCAACCCTACTTGTAATACACTCAAAATTAAAAAATGTTTATTCTTAAAGGTGACTTCACACAGCAGCAGCATTTAAATCCACTGAACTTAATTCTTCGAGGCTTTACAAAGAGGTTGTACAGTCCGTGTACTTATGACACTACAGAAAAGGGTTATGTTATTACAAAGACAGCTTTTGACGAGGAGGTGAAGGACTGGATCATTCTTTAAAATGTCAGTACAGTACAGTACAGTGATGTTATGATTTTCTTCAAGTTATTTTTAAGAATGACTCCTCTATGTGCAGATTTTCCTCCTCTCCTCCCTGTATTTATGCTGTGTCCACACAGCGACTGTAATGTGGGCCACATATTCCACATGAATGTGACTATTCTTCTGTTATTTACACACAGAAACACACAGAAAGAGTCTGTGTGCAGACAGAGAAGATTATGGTTACAGTAGTACCACTCTGGACCACATGTTTTGTTTATATGACATGAAACCACTCAGGATTGCTTCTTAACAAAAGAGGAGTCCCTGCATATGGACTAATTGTTGCCTGAAAGGTAGTGCGAGTCCTTTTAAGTATCACCAAGTGTGGCATTTATACAGTGAGATTTAAATGTGTGAATAAACTGAGAGAGGTAATTACACGACAACAGCAGGGTGTAGAATAAATGAGACAGTCGGGGTGAGCTCCAGCAGACTGGGTTATACAGGAGGATTTTCAAAGTAAAGCAGAATCTACCAAACATTATGAAAAGTATTGCAAGATATGATCTTCTTTGCTCAGTATGTGGTGTGAAATGTTGGAGGAGGATGCCATCTGCTGGCAGAGAAATATACAGCACTCATTCGCCTTCAGGTGAAACTCAGGGACCATTTTCTCATTAGCTAGTCTAAATGTACAAAGAGGTGGAAGATGCAGCAGATGCATGAGCTCAAATTGATAATTCCCACAGTTACACAGTTCTGGTCTTAGATGGCTGATTTACAGTTTTCTCTGTTTGCCTTTTTGTTTTGTTGACTAATTCAGGTGGGATGACCAAACCTCTAGAAATCAGCTGACAGACAATGGGAGCACAGATGGGTCACAGTAAGTAGGATGTGAATTTGATTACTGCCAGGGGCCTTCTCATGTAGAGCCAGAAAGTCCTGGATCCTACTACTGGGGGGACAGAGCAAGTATTTAAATCATCATGATCTGCCAGAAAGCAGACAAGCCTGTCCAAGAAAATCTTGCATGGTAGCACTGAAGATTGGCAGTAACAATAAATAGATCCTGGATTCAAAGCGCCATTACTCACCCCCTCTTAGGCTTGTATGGCCTCGATCTTACCAACATGGTCTTAACTCTGCTTTTGATTCAACACAGTGTAATGGAAAGCAAATAAACCTATACGTAGTGCTGGGCGATAGGACGATAGATATCGTGGGCACGATAGAAAATGTCTATCGTGCCATTTTTATTTTTATCGTTTCGGGCGATAGGCTGTATTTTATCCATAGGGCTTGTGCCATCAGATGATTCATAGTAACAACAACAATAATTGCACATTCAGTAAGTGTATTTGGTGTCGAACGGGAAAGAAAACAACATTTTCTTACAAAGAAAAGGATGCGTTGACATGTAGGCTTGCATTTCTCTTTCGATTTTGCGACACGACGCCGCTTTACGTGCCCTCTTCGTGTCCAGCGTCTGCCGCCGTTGCGGGTTACCTGGGTTACACACGTGAGGGGATCATTGTAAGCAGTGCTTAATTTGTGCCGGAGCAAGTCGGAGCGCGATCCGGGACCTCTTTTGATCGGATCCGGGACCTATTTCAGCCGTTCCGGCACCTGTTTCATCTGCTCCGGGACCTTCCCTGTAAAGGATGACATTTTTCGGGAATTCCCGTGGGTCACGTGATTCCCGCGGGAATCCCACGGGATGGGAGTCATTTTTAAATAACCCCTTGATCGGGACGGGACGGGAAAAAAAGCAACGGGAGTGGGCAGGAGCGGGAACAACATTAAAAGATGATCATTTTCAGCCGTGTTTAACAACCAGATGAACAGGTGCGTCCATTTTTGTAGTCATCTCTCAGTGAGAGCCAACACTCTTGACCGCGCTAGCAACACAAAAGAACTACAACAGTGGTTTGACTTCCTGTCAGCTGGGAGCGCGGCTGCGCATTTGTACTCTTCAAGCCAGCAGCGAGGAAACGTAATTTTGTGACATTCTGTAGTTTTTCAATCATTTCTGGAGTCGTGGCGAATCAAATCACCTTACCTGTCTGCCCCGGATAGGCGAATAAAGCGCTCGGATTCATGATCGGGTCTTGCTACGTGCTTCAAGAGTAAAGTAAACAATGATGGAGGCAGAGAGCAGCTTTGGAGGAGAAACATCTAGCAGTGTGAACAACCTCTTCAGAAGAGCCTACCTTTTTTTTTTAATAAAGCCTTTGGTTAGTTTTCCTCTATGCTTTATGCTTTTACTACCTTGCCTCTTACATTGCAACTCTATATTTTTTATTTTTTTAAATTCTTTTTTTATGCCAATCTGTGACTGTCATTCTATTGCTTTTTTTATTGTTGCTGCTCTCTTTTTACTGTGTACTGTAGCACTTTGAGATTTTTTGTAAATGTAAAGCGCATTACAAATTAAATTTATTATTATTATTATTATTATTATTATTATTATTATTATGATGGAGTGCTTTGGCTCACACTATCGGCGTTTTCTGTGAGTGTTGCATAACTTTGGGTGAGCACAGACATGAACGCACTTCAGCCACGTATTTATTAATTTTTCTAGTTTTAAGTGCTGGTCTTGTACTGGTACTGTACTAGTGCAGCTGTATACACTTAAATTTTTCATAGAACTGAAAGCATACCATAGCTATATCGTGATATATATCGTTATCGTGATATAAAATGATCCATATCGTGATATACATTTTTTTCCATATCGCCCAGCACTACCTATACGCACTGATTCCTTGTGCCTAGCAGGGTTTGGGTTCAAATCCTCACCTTCCCTGTGTAGCGAGTGCTTCTTGTTTACAACAAGGAGGTTGAAGTCTTAATCCAGTTCTGGGGTTTGAACTAGGTGACTGCCTTTCACTTCAGCCAAGACCAAAATTTTTTAAATTACCATGACAAATTAGAGATTTCATCAACCTTGGCAGGCCGGTGGTGTTGGGTTTAGAACTGCTGCCTTACAACTAAAGAGTTGTAATCCCAGACACAGGTTTTTAGGACTGCCACCTTTGAGTGCAGTGGTATTGGGTGCTTTTCAGCAGTTATATTGATGTTTTGAAATCAAGTAAACAAAATACAACTGTACAACCAGCCAGGCCTGTGGTGTGCTGGTTAGAGCTGCACGCTAAGAGTCAAATAGATGTTGGCTCAAATCCCATTCAGGGATTTTTTTCATGACTTACTTTTACCTGAAACAATTTGTTTTGTAGTCCAAACACAGCTCTTTAGGAGCCGTAAAAAAAAAAAAGAAAGATTGGAAATGAGAGGGTAAGATATTGTAAATTTTTCTTTTTCCTGCTTCCACTGGTTCTTGGTCAGTGTGTAAGTTATTTTGAGAAAAAGTGTACAATATAAACTGTGGTAGCAAACACTTTGAACTTTGAACTCTGGTTCACACTCCAACACAGTAGGTGGCGATAATGGACTAAAAGCCACACAACTGCAACTGAAGAAGAAAAACTTTGGTACCATGGATTGTAGGAGATAGTTTGAAAGAAAGACTGGTCTGCTGAATGCTAGGAATTTTTTTTTTCATCAGTCCTACATCCGGGTATTCTCGCATACTTCAGATTTTGCTGTTGCACACTACCTTCTTCATTTTGACAGTATCAGTATGTATTAGGGGTGGAACGGTTCACAAAATCCACGGTTCGGTTCGTATCATGGTTTTGTGGTCACGGTTTTCGGTTCGGTTCAGTATACATTAACTGTTACAAAAATCAATTGCGTCTTGTATAGTAAACTGAAAGAATGAGGCAGTCTGACATTCAATACATCATTGTGACAGTCTTAGGTTCAAAGGTAGGTCAGATTCTGGCAGTGCAAGAGAGGAGACATAGTTCAAACATGCTTTACATTTATTTGGCAAAGGATATCTCTATCTATCTAAACAAAAAGTAAAATGGCTCTTATAGCTCTGACCCTTGAATTAGTGAATACAAAAGAATTTAACTTTACTATTTTACAAACAACATTATATACCATCAACATAAAGTGAAGCATAGGCTCTATCAGCACTAGACTTGTGCCCTTTTAAAATCAACACAAAAACATTTTCTCGTAACATGTAACAACTCCCTGATTATTAGTTGTTAATGAAAAGCTCAGTATTTTTCACTTGAAATTGAAGTGCAGTGAAGTGTGTGAAATACAATCAAAGAAATCAGGCTGTAGTTTTGATCAAACTTTAAGTGTCACTGTGTTATCTAAAGTCTAAACAAAATGAAATAAATAATCCAAATTAAGAGGTCATCAATATAAAATGCAGCATAAACCAAATTTAACAGATCCTGCGCTCTCCTGCACTCTCTCACACAACTCTGCTCATCGTATTATCATGTTCTTCTGCAAGAAGATCAGTTTGTCCACATTCTCTGCCAAGAGACGAGATCTACTTGCAGTGACAATGTCCCCTCATCTCCCACTCTGAGGTAATGTAATGGACAGTCACAGTCAGGAAACTTTCAGTTGCCCCGGAGGTCCATCCATCGGTAGTAAGAGCAACATAGGCTGTGTCAGACAGTTCTTTCACAATTCCCCGTCGGATCTTTTCATAAAGTGCGGGAATTACCGAGCCGCTCAAGTGTTTGCGGGAGGGGATCTTATATCGCGGCTCGAGCGCCTTTATCATGCACTGAAATCCCGCACCCTCAACCACGGTGTAAGGTTGCTTATCTTTGGCGATGAAACACCCCAATGCCTTTGTTATGCCCTTCGCCCTGTCCGACTCGTCATTGTACGGCTGTTTAAAAGCTGCGAGGAGAAGAAGTTGTGCAGGGTTGCCCCTCCTTGCGCTGTCAACAGCCACACTGGGATGATGTCTCCGTAAATGAACTGACATGTTAGATGTGTTCCCGTTAGCATAAGCAATGCGTGTTGCACAGTACTTGCACACTGTCGCACTTTTATCCACAACTTTCTTACCGCCTTCATAGTTCACCCTGAACGCAAAATGCTCCCATACACCAGACCTATATAACGCTGGTGGCGCATCCTCCAGCCCCGAGTCTTCTCCGCTCGCCATGTTCACAGCTCCTCTACAACTAATTTCTGGGACACACTCATAGTTGCGCATGTGTATGACCCGAACGGGATGCAAGCGCACCGAACCGGGACGGTCGAACCGAACGGTTCAGTTCGGTTTCTTAAACCGTTCCATCCCTAGTATGTATAGCCTGTATGATCAACATTTTTGAAGATAGCTGCAGTCTCTATGATATCAATTATTTGTTTCTGAAGAGACGTTAAGTCAAAAAAAAAAGGCCTGAGTGGAGCTGAGGCAGGCTAGTAACCTCCAGGCCACTTCATCAGCCCAGTGTCCATTCATCATTTCTACAGACCAAAATAGTAAAATGTAATTTTGTCTTATGTACACATTTGTTTTGAGACATTTCATTGAGATGTTAAGGTATTATTGTATGTTGGAAACAAACCTAAAGAGTAAATTTTAGTGGTGTTGTTAGCGATGATAATGCATGTTCTCTTGGCCTGTTCCACTTGTTTACTGACTTTGAAACTGTGAAATGATTTTTGTCATTTTGTCATTCTGAAAGTTCAGAAAGTGTCTCTTTCTTTCACCCTTCTCTGTAGAGTCTTTAAAGAGTTTTTCTTGTATCTTTCATGTTGTAAACATTTGTGCGTGCTTCTGTTTGTATGTGCGAGTCTGGAGCCCTCTCAGGATCAATTAGTCAGTTTGGTTAAACAGTTTCAAGTAGGACTGTCATCCTCAGGGAATCAGTCTGATGTGAGGAGAAAAACAGATCATAACCCTCTGAGAGTGGCTCTCTGGTAGTAGTCTCCTGACAAACCTGTTTGTAATGGAGTAACTTGGAGAGGTAAAGTTAATTTCATGATCTATGATGAGGCCTTCATTTGAAACAAATACTTTCATGACAACTAACACCATTAATAATAGCATAGTGTAAGTATAACTGTGGCAGCCACAATAACAAATGCAGCTCTGAATTTAGCTTTCATCAACTCTGCTGTTACCTGAAGTTGAATTTATGTTTACTACTACTCCCAAGTTATACTGCTTCTCCAGCTATAAGTACTTAAATAATAAATACAGCAGGGCTCACTTAGAAATCAGTCATTTTGCAACCTTCCTCATCTTCTTACAGTGGAAACCTGAATAATTGCTTACCGTACTGAACTGAACTGAACTGGACCACCTGATGGAAACACAGCTCAAGTTGTCAAATCAATTCAGTCAAGGTGGTTCATCTCCCTGGAGCCTAATTTGTGCATTAAGAAATCAAAATGAACTATTCCCCGCAGGCCGGGTTGAATCCTTCCTTTTTCCTCGTAGTTGTACTTTTTCAGAGATCTCCCTCTCTGTGGGAGAATCTGTTATTTACCCAGGGAGGTCATTTTGCTCACATGTCAACAAAACTCCAATATTAATCCCCCATGGCTCATATATAAATACACTGTACATCATGTAATAGCTTGAGTTCAGTTGATCCAAAGCCCTGGAGTGTTAATAATCTCTTGAGAAGGCTGTGCTATTGTTTTGGGCTCAGACTGGGATAAATTAAATTAGTAAGAATCTGTGTGTGTCCCAGGAATTTAGAGTGTGTGTTTTTTAATAAAAGTAGTAGGGTCATATTAGGTCAGAGTTGGTCTTTTTTTTGCACTGATGAGGCAGGGAACCTTTAGCAAATCATGTGCAGAGGTTGATAGTTCTAAGTATGTGTTGGTGCAAGAGATATAGTACCTTGCTCTTTGTTTGCACCTGAAAGAACTAAAGGTTGAAAAGAGGTTACGATATCTGTAGCGTTATGTTGTCTGAAGTTGCCACAAAACCAAACGAGTTTCAAACCGCCGACAAGACTGTGCCTTTTCCAGGAAAACAACCTTTTATCACAATGGCAGCTGTGTCATTGCTGTGTTTGCTTATGCAGGAAGCAACCATTGGAGAAAGTGGGCAGTGAAGCAGTGGGAGAGGTCAAAAAGACATCTAGATTTTAATTTTGAAAAATGTTCAACCACAAATACAAACTGATCACTAAAAATGACATATCGCCAAGCTCTAAACTTGCTATCCTCTTTCAAAAAATGGTTCCCATTCCCAGTCAAATACACAAGTTAACATAAAGTTGCTAACTGTTGCAACACCCCTCCAAACTTCAAGTGGAAACACACACCCACACCCTCTTTCTTTCCCAACTGCCTCCTGCATTTTGGGACTCAGTGTATTTTTTTTCAACTGATGTGTCATCATCCAAAGTGAGCAGTGTAAACAAACAGCTAATTAACAGCCTCATTAGGTAGAGCTGTTTCAGCTCTCAGCAAGGGAGTAAAGAGAAGTTCAGGTATGAACTTATGGTAACGTAGTTTAACTCTGATTGAAGAAAGTAAATCTTCAAGTTTCTTTCCTTTAAAGAAGTAAGTAAGTAGGTAGTAATGGGCCTGAAACAGGCAAGATCGGGATCATGTTTTGGTGATATCTTAGCAGGAATTGTATACAGCCACAATTATGGTTATGATGATATTTATATATCACATGAAATTACAGAAAATTAAGAAAATGAATCAGTAGTTGACATGTTTTCATAGTCAGTGTGCAGAATATGGCTACTGCAGTTTAATTGGAGTTTATGCCACATACATGGTCTATGTGCCATTTTCAAAGTAAAGGCCCCCAAGAGTAGTTGATGAGCTTGGGGATAAATGACAAATAAAAGGCCAAGAGTTAGAAAAAATACAAAGGGAAAGACGATTTACTTGGTTTTGATCTTTTATTGGATTTGTTGACAATATCTTATTGCCAATGTGAGCTGTTTCTTAATGCCAGTTCAAATAGATATACTGCTCAAAGTCTAAAAAGGTCAAAGTGTGTATTTCAGCCTTGGTGTTTGAAGTATGTTTCAACAAAAGCATGTAAAGCTGAATTTGGGATGAATTGAGAATATCTTCAGCTTGACAGTCCCTTAAACAATTAGGAGCAATCTCAAACAACAGGATGGTTAAAATCTGCTTCAAACTAAGTACAACAAACTTAAGACAAAAGTGTGGTGAAGCCATGTGCTTGGATTCGATAGCCCCAGGGGTTGGACTGATACCTTTTTTGGCATCAACTTAGGACTACTTCTCTCATTGGCTACTCTGATTTAACTAATGATGGTAAGATAAAGCTTTGTCATCAGACCAAGCACAATAGAAGAGGATACTCACGCTAAAGAAGACAATCTAATTCTACCACTTCACTGAGGTGCGACAATGAACTTATTCAACTCTGCTCTGGGGAAGAACATCACTTTTGTGCATCCTGCATATTTCATAATAAGTGGGTTTTCTGGCATTCCTAATATCAAGTATTACTATGTCTTTCTCTTTTTTGTTTACATCATGTCAGTGATAGGAAACACAGTTGTGATGGCTGTAATACATCTGGATCACAGTTTGAGAACTCCAAAATATGTTGCTATTTTCAATCTAGCATTGGTGGACCTGCTTGGAAACTCTGCTCTGGTGCCAAAACTTCTGGACATCTTTCTGTTCAACCATCCTCACATCCCCTTCAATGACTGTATGGCTTTCCTTTTTTTCTGCTTCACCTTTCTTTCCTTGCAGTCCCTTAATCTGGTTGCTCTCTCCTATGACAGACTGGTTGCCATTATCTTCCCATTGCACTATCATGTTAAAATTACCAACAGGTTCATGCTGTTCTTGATGGCTTCTTTCTGGGCATTTGCCGTGATTGCTGTTTTGATTGCAGTTGGTCTCCTAACAAGACTTTCATTTTGTAAGTCTGTGGTAATTAAGAGCTATTTCTGTGACCATGGCCTGATCATGAAACTGGCATGCAATGACATGACCCCAAGCGTTTTTATCGGTGGTCTGTTACCATTTCTTTTTCTTTGGGTACCTCTGATATTCATCTTGACCACTTACCTATACATTGGCTATACACTGTCTAAAGTAGCCTCAGTTCAGGAGAGATTGAAGGCCTTTAAAACCTGCACTGCTCATATTTCATTGGTGGCAATTTATTTCCTTCCAATAATGATTACATTTTCCATGATGGGAAAAATGCATCCCAATGCAAGGATCATAAACCTATCCCTAACTTCTGTCTTTCCTCCAATGTTGAATCCAATCATTTATGTTCTGCAGACACAAGAAATCAAAGAGTCAATGAAAAGGTTGTTCAAAATCAAAGTACACCCAAAACTTAAAAATAAGAAAGAAATCAAAGTGTGAACTGCAATGTTTTATATATTTTTCTATCAGAAAGCTTAACAACTCACACAAAATCAGTAAAGATTGAAAAGGTCCTGTGTATACAATTTTATATAATTTAGCACAAAAAAAAATCAAAATATAACAACCAGCAACCCTCGCTTTCCTTTCCAAGAATGAAAAGTTATTTTTTTGAGTCTACTGTCATATTTGTGTCCACCAGCATTGGTCAGATTTACCATAAGTACTCATTTATTAAATTGTTTTACTGATTGTTTCTTTAATGGTCTGTAATCTGCTCATTTATAGGGATCAATGATTTAGGTCTTTTGCAGTTTTTTTCTGCTCATTTTTTGCAGTTTTTCAAAACCACCTCAGAATTGAAACTGCTTCCCATTAAATGTCCATAGCCATTCAGGGCCATACTGAAGTTTCTTTCCTGGCAGGTTTCATTTTGAAGCAGACAGTTCAGATCCCTGAGGTTTGACCTAGCCGTGGTTCCCAATAGACTGAATGTTTGTCAGTGCTAGGTTCAACCCAGTTTAACTGATCAGGACTGGATTTGGATTTACACAAATGTGTTGGTGCTATTTTTTGAAAGAGGCTGGGCAAACTCATAAAGGAGGCCAGCTCTGTCCAGGGATGCCCTTTGGAACTTGTGGGGGACGTGGGGGAGAGGAGGATCACAGCCAAGCTGTCCTCCACGCTGGACAAAGACTCTCACCCCCTCCAACACACACTCATTGCACTGAGGAGCTCTATAAGGGACAGGATGCTCAGCCCAAAGTGTGTGACAGAGAGGTATTCCTGCAGCCGTCAGACTCCAAAACAAAAACCTCAGGGTGCAATAAAACATAGTTATATGTATAGACTGTGCACATGTATAGTCTGCACACATGTATGCATATTCAGTGTATATAGTCATACTTATAAATATCTCAATTTTTCAAACTGTAATATATCATAAACTGTACATAACACCTGTAAATAACACTCATGTATATATCTTTTTTTAACTCCTAAGTTTCTTCATCCTTTAATTTCTCTTTTTGTATTTATGCTGCTGTAAACTTGAAATTTCCCCCTGTGGGACTAATAAATAAATATATCTTATTTTATCTACTTTTTAACCATTGCTCTCCTATTCTGCTAGTTTTGTAAAGAATGCTATCTTTCCAATATTAAAACACAAACTAAACTCAAAATCATTAGAAAAATGAACAGCTGTGTCAAAATCTGTATGATGGGGCACCAGTGGCCTAGCAGTCATAGTGCCCAACAAATAGGCTATAGTCCATGTCCCTGGTTCAATCCCTGACCAAGACCCCAAGTATGATTGAAGTACAACTTTTTTTTTTAAATTTACTTAATAAACCTAACCAAAAACTTGGATGTAATTAAGTAAATGTTACTTAATATCTTCACAACTGTCATGTTTTCTGGAAAGTAAAATTTACTTTATACTGGCAAGTGAGTGTGACTTGCTATTGCAGCATTAAATTTTACTTGAATCAATTGTGTGCAAATACTTACAATTTATTTTTTAAGTACATGTTATGAGTTATTTTTTTCAGTGTAACAAGGAGTGACGTGTTTGTCTGGTGGTGGGTAGCTCCCATAAGAAACACACAGGAACATAAATGACCTAACTGCAGAGAAGGACTGCCTATCGCTGCAACCACCCACAACCAAACACTCTAAGTCCAACAGCGCTCTGTCACCACAGAGAAAGGAGAGCTTATTTCTATCCTCAGACTGGAAGACAACAGCTTGACTTCTACAGGAAACACATCTCAATCTAAATCTTTGGCTTGGATGTTTTGACAATGAACTTATTCAACTCTGCTCTGGGGAAGAACATCACTTTTGTGCATCCTGCATATTTCATAATAAGTGGGTTTTCTGGCATTCCTAATATCAAGTATTACTATGTCTTTCTCTTTTTTGTTTACATCATGTCAGTGATAGGAAACACAGTTGTGATGGCTGTAATACATCTGGATCACAGTTTGAGAACTCCAAAATATGTTGCTATTTTCAATCTAGCATTGGTGGACCTGCTTGGAAACTCTGCTCTGGTGCCAAAACTTCTGGACATCTTTCTGTTCAACCATCCTCACATCCCCTTCAATGACTGTATGGCTTTCCTTTTTTTCTGCTTCACCTTTCTTTCCTTGCAGTCCCTTAATCTGGTTGCTCTCTCCTATGACAGACTGGTTGCCATTATCTTCCCATTGCACTATCATGTTAAAATTACCTACAGGTTCATGCTGTTCTTGATGGCTTCTTTCTGGGCATTTGCTGTGATTGCTGTTTTGATTGCAGTTGGTCTTCTTACAAGACTTTCATTTTGTAAGTCTGTGGTAATTAAGAGCTATTTCTGTGACCATGGCCTGATCGTGAAACTGGCCTGCAATGACATGACACCAAGCCTTGCAATTGGTTTTCTGTTACCAGTTCTTCTTCTTTGGTTCCCTCTGATATTCATCTTAATTACTTACCTATACATTGGCTATACACTGTCTAAAGTAGCCTCAGTTCAGGAGAGATTGAAGGCCTTTAAAACCTGCACTGCTCATATATCATTGGTGGCAATTTATTTCTTTCCAATAATGATTACATTTTTAATGATGGAAAAAATGCATCCCAATGCGAGGATCATAAATCTGTCTCTAACATCTGTCTTTCCTCCAATGTTGAATCCAATCATTTATGTTCTGCAGACACAAGAAATCAAAGAGTCAATGAAAAGGTTGTTCAAAATCAAAGTACACCCAAAACTTAAAAATAAGAAAGAAATCAAAGTGTGAACTGCAATATTTCATAAATTTTTATATCAAAAAGCTTAACTACTCACACAAAATCAGCAAAGATTAAAGAGGTCCAGATTTGTGTATGAGGGGCACACATCTTCAAAGTGAGACTGTGTACACGATTTTATATAATTTAGTGATAATTCAAAATATAACTAGCATCAACCCTTGCGTTCCCTTTCAAGTACAATTAATTGTTTCTTTGGGTCTACTGTGATATTTGAGTGCATCAGCATTGGTCAGATCTACCATAAGTACTCATTTATAAAAATGTTTTATTGATTGATTGATTGTTTCTTCTGTAATCTGCTTATTCATAGAGATAAATGATTTAGGTCTCCTGCAGTTTTTTCTGCTCCTTTTTTGCAATTTTTAAAACCACCTCAGAATTGAAAGTGCTTCACATACAATGACCATAGACATTCAGGGCCATGCTGATGTTTCTTCCCTGCAGGTTTCATTCTGAAGCAGGATTCACACAATGTGTTGGTGCCATTTTTTCTTACCATTGCTCTCCTGTTCTGCTAGTATTGTAAAGAATGCTATCTTTCCTATATCAAAACACTAGTTCAGATTAAAATCACTGAAAAAATGAACAGTTGTATAAAAATCTGTATGATGGGGCACCAGTGGCCTATAGCGGTCTTAGTGCCCCACAAATATAGGCTATAGTCCTTGTCCCTGGTTCAAACCCCAGCCAAGACCCTTTGCTAGAAGTCTGTCCTTACTGTCCACCCTTAACTCTGCCTTTCTTAAGCTCAAAAATGTGCATGATAAGAACCAACTATGACAGTTACCATGTTTGTGAAAAATTTATTTGACGTGTCTTTTTATTTTCTAGTTAATTCAGGTAATAGAAATGGAGGAGAGGGTCTTTGAGTCCCACACTACAGCTATAACCGTGGGGAGCTTGTAATGTTATTGCTTCATTCAGGATAGCTTCTGCTCTGTCCTTTTTTTTTTTTTTTTTTTTTTTTTTTTACACCGTCTATGCTTTAAACAACAACAAAAGAAAACTGCCTGTTGCACCAGGGTGCAAACATGCTTTATTTCATTGTAAAAATAAGTGCTTCAATAAAGATGGTCATTGGGATTTGTAATAGTGAGCATCAAGAGCATGTTTGATGAACTGCAGCTTAAGAATAAACTTTTTTTAATCTTATTTTATACAGCATGTGAGGTTGGTTACACTTCCTAACAGTAACATGAATGTTTCAGGATAAAACCTTAGTAAGAATTTTGCAGTCCTTAATCTGTCAGGCCCTGGTGTGCCATCATATCATTACATCACTTATGTGGTATGTAAAAGAAATTGTGAAAAAAGGATCAACTGCATGTAGTCAAAAGTTTGACATCTTTCACTAAAAAAAGGACACAGTAAGTGAGAAAGCTCGTCCGGTATGACAAGGCAGTCATGTTAGCAGGGTGTGGATTTGAGTGTGTGATGACATGACTGTTGGTAAAGGATAAATACCTCTTTGCCACTTTTGCACCATCACTGTAAAAGGATGTAAAATCTGATATATATATTGATGCCATTTCATAATCTAAAGGTTTTAGATGTTTGAGAAATTTGGTTTTATTTTTGTTCATGACTTGTCACTCTTTTACTTTACTAATCTACTTGAATTGGAATAAAGAGTAAACAAGAATTCATAAGGAGAAATGTAATCTAAACCAGAATTATTAAAACCAAACAGCTGTCTAAGGTTTTTAATCCAAGGCTTTTTATATATCAGTGCTGCAGTCACAGTCGGCAAATAACCTCCACTTCAGTGAAAGTGAGTATACAAGATGGCAGCATACATAAATTGCTCATCAGATTTGTCTTATATATGTTATTTATTAAGGCTTTTCGGTGTAGTACTGTGTTTTAGACCATATTTAAAGTAAACCAAAAACTACTCACTGAAATTCTCTAGAGAGCGAAGTGTGTAGCTGTGTGGAGTGACGTGTTTGTCTGGCGATGGATAGCTCCCAAAAGAAACACTTGGGAACATAAATGCCCAAACTGCAGGTGAGGACTGCCTATTTCTACAACCACCCACAACCAAACAGTTTAAGTTCTACAGCGCTCTGTCACCACAAAGAAGGGAGAGCTTATTTCTGTTCGCCTCAGACTGGAAGACAAAAGTTTGACTTCTACAGGAAACACATTTCAATCTAAATCTTTGACTTGGATGTTTTGACAATGAACTTATTCAACTCTGCTCTGGGGAAGAACATCACTTTTGTGCATCCTGCATATTTTATAATCGGTGGTTTATCTGGTGTCCCTCACATCAAATATTACTACGTCTTTCTCTTTTTTGTCTACATTGTGTCAGTGATAGGTAACACAGTCGTGATGGCTGTAATATATCTGGATCACAATCTAAGAGCACCAAAATTTGTCGCTGTTTTCAATCTAGCATTAGTGGATCTATTTGGCAACTCTGCTCTGGTGCCAAAACTTCTGGACATTTTTCTGTTTAATCATCCTCGCATCCCCTTCAATGACTGTTTGGCTTTCCTTTTTTTCTGCTACACCTGCCTCTGTATGCAGTCTTTTAATCTGGTTGCTCTCTCCTATGACAGACTGGTGGCTATCATCTTCCCTCTGCACTATCCAGTGAAGATTACCCACAGGTTTATGTTGTCTTTGATGGCTTCTTTCTGGGCATTTGCTGTGATTGCTGTTATCATTGCAGTTGGTCTAATTACAAGGCTTTCATTTTGTAAGTCTGTGGTAATTAACAGCTATTTCTGTGATCATGGCCAGATATATCGGCTTTCATGTAATGACCATTACCCAAATTATGTCCTCAGTTGTTTGTACCCTGTTCTAATTTTTTGGCTCCCGCTTGCTTTCATCTTGCTCAGTTACCTTTATATTGGATGTACTCTGGCAAAGGTAGCCTCAGTTCAAGAAGGACTAAAGGCCTTTAAAACATGCATAGGTCACCTGTCTTTGGTGGCAATCTATTTCATCCCCCTGTTAATCACTTTTACCCTGATGGAAAATATACATCCCAATGCGAGGATCATAAACCTGTCCCTCACGTCTGTCTTTCCTCCGATGTTGAATCCAATCATTTATGTTCTGCAGACACAAGAAATCAAGGAATCAGTGAAACGGTTAATGAAAATCAGGAAGAAATCCAAAATGGCCAAGAAGAAAATAGCCACAATCTGAAAGCTTCATGGACAACTGTCCCGTGCAATCTTTACCTATCTCAAATTGCATATAATGTGCATGAGGAAACATAAAAAAATATGAATCAGTTAAAGAATCACATTTTAACATTAAACAATGAACCAAGTGGCTAGAGTAGAAGGTATAAGTTATGATAATTGTGTAAATGACTAAAGACAGAAGGCTTATTGATAATCTTTCAATTTTATTGTGATTCATTTGAAAATGTGCATTTCTTCTTAAGACTTTCTGTTCATGTGCTTCTTTTTTTGTTGTTTCATGTTGATGACTCATCAAATATGTCATGATTAGACAGTGTGTGTCTCTATAGAAAAAGCTTATTGTTATATGTGTACAGTCCAAGATTAGACAGGACTATTGTAATTTTATGTAAACATGATGATACATCTGAAGTTTTCCCATTTAGTAAACATATTGTTGACCCGTTTCAAATGTCATTCTTTAATATCACTGTGATTTTATTATGCTGAAGATATAGTTAAGTTCAAGGCCTTTAAACTAAGAAGAGGACGTTTGAGCTTGTGGCAAATCATTTTGTACATGACTATACATACATACATCCTTCCTACTGGGGTGGTATGAAGTATGTGAGCCCACAGACCAATAAATAGCTTTCATTGTTGGATCACTGCTTTGTCTTATGTTCTGTTTTGGTAGGTCTTGCCCCCAAGAGCTTCAACAACTCTTTTGAAGTATCTTGATACAATTTTTTAAATCCAATTTCCTTTTGAGCAGTCCATTGAAAAAAGTCTCAAATATTATGTCTAATCTGGCAAATACCTGCCACATAAAACCTTCTCTCAGTGACAGTAATGAAACATTTTCTCACATAACATATTGTTTCAAAGTCTGATCATACACAACAGCCAGCATGTTGAACCTGTCAAGCCTCTCTCCAAGAGGACAGTAAATATGTTGTGCAGGAAACCCAAATTGTGTTTTTTCAAATAAAGTAAGCAAGTTTTCAAACTTTGCTGATACTTCTGTTTTTAAAGTTTCAAACGGGCTTGACTCCAGCTTTGTCAACTTTGTTACAGAGGGGAATTAAAAGAGTTGTTATGATGATCATAACACAAGAGAGGGTTGTTTCTTTTATTAGCCTCTCATTACTAGACATTTAAAGTTTATCACAGCTCTGCCGTCAGAGAGAGAAAGAGAGAGGAGCAGACAGGAGCTTGACTCTGCCTGTACATAAGACAGAGCACAGATTATTACCAGAGCTGGTGTTGTAGTGGGAGATACACAAAGAGCGACTTGATGGAGTTTTTCAACTCTGCTCTGGGGAAGAACATCACCTTTGTGCGTCCTGAATATTTCATGATACGTGGGTTTGTCGGCATACCTGATATCAAGTATTACTATGTCTTTCTCTTTTTTATTTACATCACTTCAGTGCTGGGAAACACAGCTGTAATGACTGTCATCATTTATGATCACAATCTGAGAACTCCAAAGTATGTAGCAGTTTTCAATCTAGCCTTTGTGGACCTCTTTGGGAGCACTGCGCTGGTACCGAAACTTCTGGACATCGCTTTGTTTAACAATTCTTACATCCCCTACAACGACTGTTTGGCCTTCCTTTTTTTCTGCTTCGTCACCCTGACGATGCAGTGTCTTAATCTGGTTGCTCTCTGCCTCGACAGACTTGTGGCTATCCCCTACCTCTTCGCTATCACGTTTTAGTGACCCATAAGTCCATGCTGTGTTTGGTGGCTTTTTTCTGGCTTTTGGCTATCACTGTGGTACTTATAGCGGTCGGCCTTCTAACAAGACTTTCATTTTGTAAATCTGTTGTGATTAGAAGCTTTTTCTGTGACCACGGCCCACTTTACAGACTCGGCTGCAATGATGTTACCCCAAATCAAATACTTGCTGGTATATTATCAAATTCATTTCTTTGGGTTCCACTAGTATTTATCCTTGCATCTTACTGTGCTATTGCTTATGCTCTACTAAAGATTACCACAACCAAAGAAAGAGTGAAGGCCTTTAAAACCTGCACAAGTCATATTTCATTGGTGGCCATGCATTACCTCCCAATCATATTTGTGTACCGCTTTGGAAGAACAATTCATCCCAATAACAGAATCATAGTCATGTCTCTGGTAACGATCTGTACCCCGATGTTGAACCCATTTGTTTATGTTCTGCAGACACATGAAATCAAAAATTCTATGAAAAAGTTGTTGCAAATCAGAGGTCAGTCCAAAATTTCAGCACATTAACAGTGTATAATGGTTTATTTTTTAATACATATATATATTTTTTTTATTGAGGTAAGGTCACATCTTTGATGCTGTAATTATGGACAATTATAGCGGTTCTGTATACACAATCTGATATTACTGCAGAATTATGATCAGTGCTTATTTGTTGTTGATTTTCTTGTTTATAATCTGATTTAAACAACCTGTGCATCTACATCTGCAAAGACAAACTGCTTTAACTGGAACCTGCCTGTCACATTATAAAAGAAAGCAAATTAAAACGGGTTAACAAACTGTATGTATACCTTTAAAGACAACACAGATATTTGCATTTTGAAATTGTGCGTAAAATTGAAAAGTTTGTTCTGTTAACCAATTATTTGGTGTGTGTGCACATAAATTGATTAGAAAAAGGGTCATTCCTCTCAAATGGGCCAAATAATGGCTGTTTAACTCAAATTATTTTCAATTGATTAGGATCACAACTGTTGAAAAACAAAATACTGTAAAGAAGAAAAACATGCACTCTCAAAAACAGTCAAACTATTGGCACATAACAGTGAATAAACTGTAAATTGTACTTACTCTTGTACTCTTACATGGTATTTACTTGACATCTCAGTATTCATGTTATATTTATTCTCACATCTTTACTTAACAGTAAGATAAATTCTGTATATTTTTCATATGCTTTAACTGGGTTTCTTTTCATTCTGATGAAATTGCTGTGCTATTTTGTAAAAGATTTTTAGCTCTCATAAAGCTAGATTTTTTTCATATTACATTTTGCGAGCTACTCTAGATCTCTTATCAAAACCGTCTACATTTGACTGTTTATTTTAGAAGATTTTGGTGAATACCAAAATATGACATGAGGGAAATCCATGACTGTGTATTCTTTTTATTTTTGTGTGAGACTTGTGCTTTTGCAAAAGCAAAAATCTGAACAATTATATATACAAACAAATTAACAATATGCCCTAATTGTATGAGAGTTACAATTTTAATTTTTCAATTTCAACACCAATCTGGACATAGTTGAATGAACCAATCTTGGTTAACATAAATTGGTCCAGATTCTGACCCCTCTTTTTCTCTACTGTACTTGTTACCTTTTAGCTCTACCTGTTAGTTTTGTAGCCCTGCTGTTTTATGACCAAACTGTATCAGTGTTTTGCTTGGTATGTGAAAGGTAGATTTTGCGGTCACAAAACAAATACTTTCTGCATAAAACTGAATGACTCCTCCTTCAGGCACTTAAATTTTTTGCTTTCAGGTTTGCTCGAATGTTATACTTAAAACCATGAGGATTCAGAACATCTCTCATGGTCAGCTGCTTCCTATTTTTAATCTGAAGGAAAAATTACAACGTCATGTCAGTGCTCATTGAATGATGTTTATTCTTTCTCATAGCTTATCTAAAATTAAAAAGTCACTGACTCTCATCCCTCTCACCCACTGCACCAGACTGTGGGGGCTTTAAGCAGCTCCTTTAGCAGCAGACTTAGACTCCCACCTTGCAAGACGGAGCGCTACCGCAGGTCATTCCTCCCTTCTGCAATAAGACTTTACAACGAACTGTAATAAAACTGGACTCACACCACCACTTTTTTTCTGGCATTTTTAATTGTTTATATTGTATATAGTTTTATTTTTCTTCTCCCTTTTTCCTTTTTCTAAATTTTTTCTTAATTATTACATTTATTTAAGTTCTTAATATTAGGATCTTAATTTTTATAACTGCATTTTTGCACTCTTTGTGATGCTGCTGTGACAAAAAAAAATTCCCCCATGGGGGGTCAATAAAGGAATATTCTATTCTATTTTATTCGTCCAGCTGAATGAGGAAGCTTTCTGTGCATGAAGCCTGATGCGATCAATGTTGCGGTCACATGATATTTACTGATTTAATACAGGATTATGGTAGAATTGGGATCTAAAGGCTTCTAAGAGTGTGTGTCAGTTTGATTTATACTGAGAAGAGCTAGTGTTTCTATGTAAAGCAGGAATATCCTCAGTAACAAGTGTTAAAGAAGTCTCATTGAGAAAGAGAAAGCTGTTCACCAAGCAGTCTGGTTTTGATTAAAGTTTCTTATCGTTAAGATGAAGCCCATTCCTCACCACTGTTGCCAAGATTCTGCCCTTGGTGGACTAATGTTTTATTGTTTTAAATAATAAAAAGAACCAAATGGTCTAGAGAAGACCAAATCTTTGTGTGAGATAACCAGTGTTGTAATTCGGTGGTATGAATTAAAACTGATTCACTGGCTGAGTAGTCCTGTGTGAGAGTAGTTTCTGTTGGGAGTGGGTTTTGTTATGTTACTTCTGCTGCTTATTTGAATATATTCAGATCATGAGATATATTTCTACGTAGAAAATAAAGGAAAATGTTTTATTTAAACCTCATAATCAGTATTAATGTGTATTTTGATGAATCTTTTTATTTTAATTCCTCACCCTCTCCCAAAAAAGATCCATTCATTGAGTCCATGCTTGAGGAAAACAATGACATAAGCACTGACACAGACAAACATGAGACAGGTATGAGATGTTGAGTGGCAGACAAACCTCCACATCTGTTGTCTCTCAGGGAAAAAGGAAACCTATAATTGTCAGGTCTCTCCCAGTTTGAGCTGCCAGAGCAAACAGCACATTTGACTCAGAGGTGAGTTTGACTTATTCAGTTATTTCACATTTTCAAAACTTTAATTATTGTATTTTCTTGTTTCTCATCCAGAAAAAAACAGGTGTCTATGATGGGTCCAGAAGAAAAAGCTGCCGTCGTGCTTAATGACACATTTGTTCGCCCTGCGAGGTTCTACCTCAGTGGGTTCACCAACTTTCCTCATGCCAAGTATTACTATTTGTTCCTGTGTTTTGTCTACATCATGACTGTTCTGGGAAACTGCTTCCTCCTCACAGTCATTTATCTGGTGGAGGCCCTGCATACTCCTAAATACATGATTGTGTTTAACCTGGCATTCACAGATCTGTGTGGCAGCACCGCTCTCATACCAAAACTTTTGGACTCCTTTTTGTTTGACAGGAGGTACATCCTATATGAGGCTTGTTTGAGTTATATGTTCTTTGTTTTATATTTTGCAAGTGTGCAGTCATGGACACTTGTCACAATGTCATATGACAGATTTATAGCTATTTGCTCCCCTCTAAGGTACCACAATATTGTCACTAAAGAAGCTATTGGTTTAATGCTGCTGTTTTCTTGGGTTTCCATCCTGTGTGTTGTAGCATACGCTATAAAGCTCTTCGATCGTTTGTCATTCTGTAGATCTGTGGTGGTGAAGTCCTTTTTCTGTGACCACGGCCCTGTGTATCTACTGGCTTGTAATGACTCCTCTTTAAATAACATAATGGCCTATATTGCTTTCGTTGCAGTCCTTCTTATACCTTTTTTATTGATAGCTCTGACATATGTTTGTATTGGAGTTGCACTGAAAAGAATCGCATCAGGAGAGGAGCGACTTAAAGCGTTCAAAACTTGTGTTTCTCATTTGCTCCTTGTGGCTATTTTCTTCGTGCCAATTCTCGGCACCAACATCGTATCTGTGGTCTCCTACATTCATCCTAACATCAGGATCATTAACTCTTCTCTGACACACACCATACCAGCTCTGCTTAACCCCATAATTTACTCCTTAAAGACAGAGGAAGTTCTCGCCTCTATCAAGAAGCTTTTAAAAAGAAGTCAGAATAATCAGGTGACCAAAAAGTGGTAACATGGAGTGTTTTGCTACTGATCTCTCACGCATGTACTATACCTTGCAATGAAACAGGATGATATTCTTACCTTGTGTTTTATTACTTGTGGTTTTTCTTCACTTCTCAACTGTTATACAGTGATTTTCTGTACAAGTAAGCTGTTGTTTTGCTTGTACTCTTTGTGATACAAGCTCGATCAGACTCCAGCTATCAATAGACTGGTACAAGGATGGATTTTTAGCAACTTTTTTGATATTGATGCATTCTTTTCAGCTTATTTTAAAAGAAAATAACAAATATGTCATTTTGTGCTCCTTATTTTACTGTAAATGTCAATGGTTTTTTTTTGCTTTGGACCATAGTGATGCAGGAATTTCTCTTTTTTCTTAAGTTTTATTGAATCGTCACACATTTTACTGGTGAATAAAATAAAAAGAAGAACCAATTGTATGTTATACATTTTTGAGTTGTGTGTAAATGTGCAACACAAGTCAAGAAAAGTCCATAAAACAGTGGGGTCGCTATTTGAGTTCCCACTCCATACACTGAGGCTACAGTCCACATCCACGCAAAAAAGTGTAAATTACCATGAAACTTATTGCAGCTGCTCTTCCTCCCAACATGATTACTTACTCTGAGATCCACCAGGCATATCTATCACTTTAAAATTTGTGGGTTTTGGCACAGTTGTTATATGTAGAGCACATATTCACCACTCCCATTGCATGAATGGTACTGCTAATCTCTTCATCTACAACACTGTGAATATCAGACTCCCCCCCCCCCAAAAAAAAAAAAAAAAAAAAAAAACAACCTTTGTTTTTTAAGTATAAATATTAGGTTGGTATTTAAAATGTTAGAATCACAAAGATAGCACATGACAACAAAAATTAAGAAAAAGCAAAAATCAAACACATCACTATGTTTTAATGTCTATCTCTTTAAACGAATCCAGATCAGATCTGTTTCAGATTTGTTGTACTGTGTTGCTTAATATGTAAAAGGGGCAGCTGTTTTAAAAAGGGGCTTTTCTAACATCTTCCCTAGAACCATTGATAACCATATGGGGCTCTGAAAGCAAACACTTTCTGAGTTTTTTAAAAAGTACAAATAAAGTCATAATAGATTAGCTGGCAAGGAGTGAGGAGTTTCAAAGAGAAAGGACTGTCAAGACCAGGCCGAGGTATCAAGAACCAGTTTCAACTTGGGACTGGTCCCAAATTTATGAGATTTGTGGATTCAATAGGGCAGGTGAATTTCAGTGATACTCTCCAGTTCCTCATAACATAAATTTTTCAGGATTAAACCTCAGTGAGAATTTCTGCCAGGATCTGCAGTGTCAGCGTAACATTACACCACTTTTGATGCCAAACAAAAAAGTTGTGGAAAAAAAGGATCATGACAGACTCCAGCAAGTGGTTCAAAGTTTGGCTACCTTCACTGAAATAAGATACTGACACAATAAGGGAGGAAGCACGTCCAATATGACTAAACGTTTGGTGAATTTTAGGAAATGAAGCGTCGTTGATGTGCTGTGGTCTCCTCACAAAAAGGCCTACTCCACAGCTGTATCGCGCCCCATGACACAAAGGTACAAAACACAGTTGGGCCCATGTTGGCATTAATATGGAGGTAAAAGTGTCATGCCTACAAACTGAAAGAGACTCCTTAAGACTCACAGGCAACAGACTTTTAAAATTAGGTGAATGGCACCATCTAGTGGTTCAAGTCTATACTTATAAAGCTGAAACCAAACCATGAGATTGAATTTTTTCACTTGAGTTCATTGTGTGTCTGTAACTTAGTTGGGATGTACTGCAAATCTTAGCTGGGACACTATTGAGATTTTTGATATCACCGAGGCTTTCCTGAAAACATCTTGAATGAAATTAAAACAAATAATAAAACTCTCACTGCAAGTATTTACTCAATTTCAATGAAATGGAAAATAAAAAGATTTTCTTTTATTAGTGCTCGGGACCCTTGAGGGAAAGATGGATAAATGCATTGATAATATTATTTCTCAACATGTTTCTTTCAAAATTTACACATACTAGGATATTTATTTGAACTATACTATCTTTTAATTTCAATATTGTTCTTAAGCTCAATGGTTATACCCTCATATATTACCCATTCATATATTTACAGTGTTATGTTTAGTCTTTACTAATATTGCTCACAGAGGCACAGCTATGTTTCAGTCCTTTGACATATTAAACCACTGAAATCACAACATTTGGTTCTGAAATTATCTTCACTCATATATGCAAGGTCTTTGAAAAGTACAAATAATGTCAGAGGAATAACAGACAAACTGGCATAAAGTAAAACAAAAAAAGTCAGGGTCTTAAGGACTCACAGGTCAAGGACTCCAGAAACTTGTTACTTGTTGTTGATTGCACCATCTAGTGGTTTGAGCTTGTACCTAATGATTTGAGGCTTTCAGTGGTATTTTGGGTGTCCTTTTGCCATGATGTTTTTAGGTCTTCGTGTGAAACGCTCTGATTTGTCTTTTGCTGAAGTGTACTCGATAAACAACATTTCTGTGTCTTGCATTTCTCTTTTATTTTACAAATAAGTATTAAGACATCAGCTGTGAACTGCAAAGAAATTTTAGGGACAGGAGAAAAAAAATCAACTCTTTCTTCCTTAAATGTGGAACAAATTTAAACCCATCAAACTCATGATCAGAGCATTACGATGTACACCTGTGTTGACATGACAAAGATGAGCAATAAATCCATAGAGTGGAGATTTTTTACAATGATTATAATAATTACAAGTGCTTATTGATATTTTATCAGTCACCAAATTGCGTGAATTCATAATTCTTCAGCTCTAGGCACATAAAAAAGGAGGAAAACATTATATGTGCTTGGACTTTATTATCATATATAAAGTAGAGCAGGTCCTAAACAAGTCTCAGTCCCTGAGCATGTGTATGCGTTTGCATGTGTGAATTTCAGCTCGGTGCAGACTCAGTGGAGCTTTGTCGCTGCTTCTTTAGCTGTTCCTTTCGAGCATTTTGGTAATTCATCATGCAGTTTTTGAAAGTCTGGACCTGGGTCTGGCACACTCTCCAGTCCTGGTGTTCAGCCATGCACTCCTGCACGGCGTAATGTAGTTCGGCACAGCCGGTGCGGGATATCATCCTTTCAACAGGGTCATCCTCATCCTCTTCTTTCCGACTGCGGTCATGAGGTGAAGGGGACGCCATCATGTTCTGTGTGAGCAGACAGGGAAGTGGTTCAAAGTGATTAACACAGACATTGGGTCAGAAAAACATATTGGAAAATAACATTATAAAATTATTAAAAGGCAACATTCAGAACCATTAAACCTTTCAGTGAGGCCTTAATTCTTTAAATTAGTTTTCTACCTCAGGAAAACTACCTCAGGAAAATCCGTCTGTTCCTTCTGTACACCTTCGCTTCGCAAGCCAAAGCAGTGAAATTTTGGATGCCTGTTTGTGATGAATTCAGCATATGTCTTTGCTTTACTGCATACATCATTAAAGGGATAGCCCGGCGTAAAATTAAGTTAGGGTCAGACACACCGTAACACTAAGTTAAACACCCCCTCGAGAGATGAATGTTGCCGACCACTTGCTTCTCTAGTTATACCAACTTTAGTAACGACCACAGGATCGCAATACAAAGAGCCACGCGCTCAACCAAAAAGCCACTCTATAGCCACAAATAATGCTCAGAACAGCACCTAACTTCATCAACAGTACATAGAAGGTCACAGCCAGAGTACTAGCTACCAAACATCTTTTAAACTTTGCCTAATTTCCTTAGCAAAGAGACTAAACACAACTAACCTACACTCTTCCAGCAGCCGCTTGTTTGTACTGAGACCTCAGGCCAGTCCATCACCGCAGTGGGGTGACGCAGCTCAAGGAAGAACATTCATGATTATTTCTTTATCATTTCCTTTAAGTAATCATCATATAAATCGTTTGGCACTGCAGACGCGGTAGTTCTTCTGCAACATTCGTCTCTCGACGGGGTGTCTAACTCGGCATTACGTTGTGTTCGACCTTAAATTAAATTTACGACGGAATATTCCTTTAAAATATGATAGATGAATTTCCGGTGAAGGTATTTCTGTGTTTTTCACTGCAGGACATTTCTAAGATACAAACTCAGTTCAGAGACTTTGAATACGGGTTAATTGTCAGCTAAAATATTATTTTGGATGACTGAGTCCCCGCGAAAAATGGACTTTCTTCACATGCTTTACTCCGTATTTAATTACCACAGATCGACTTATCTTCGGTTTCAGCAACAGTGGTAAGTACCTTTGAAGCAGAGTAACAACACATACACCGAGGAGCCGTAAGCGAATACACACACACTTTTCTGACTCACCTTTTTGTTTTCCTTTATCAAAAATATCCTCTAAATCCTCACATTTACGCTTACATGACCTTACACAGCCACTCTAAACTTCAGTAACCGACTTTAAATAACCATGGCGTTAGGTGACGGACATTTTTCAGCGGAGGACCGGTGTGACCATAAAATGGTTCCGTCTCTGCATGGAAATGTTAGTTCCGTTCGCTTCATTGTGATAGAGAAGCGTTATGTGATGAAATTGTGGAGGGAAAAGTCTCCTACGCGTACTCATCGGCTGTAAGTACAGACAAGAACTTCTAACTAAAGAGATCCTACCTGTACTGCAAATATCACTTGTTGCTGTACATGAAGACCATTAATTGACCATTGACTGTGGACTGATATCAGCTGGTGAGCATTGGCAAGTTTGTCTGTTTACAATGCATTGACTCCTCCTGAGAGCCCAAAGATCACAGCCATCTAGTATCAGTTATCAGCCTTGTCCATTTGGTACAGAGATTGCTTTAGATTCACCATTAAATATTACATTAAGTTGTTGAAATCCTCAAATTTTATGCTCTGAGAGACTCAGCCTCCCTTGAGTGCCTTTATGTAGTTACTGATCAGATGCAAATCAATGTAATCAGTTTAGAGATGTTCATCAAGGTGTCTTTATAGCATTACAAAACTTTCATAGTGTTTTATTGTCCCTCTTGTTGCCATGATCAAAGTTGGAATAGGTGTATTTTCTTTTAAACAACAAATTTTTTCCATTTTCTACACATATATTGAATATATACATGTATATGCATTATTTTTAATTAAAAATTGACTGCAAATGATCTGCAAAACATCAGTTTCTGTTTTATCAACATTTTATATTGAGTCCCAACTCATTTAGAATTGAGGTTGTTTAATAATATAGAGAACAGAAGTAGTTTCAGATTTTTTGAGTTTTCCAAATGATTTTAATGTAGTGAAAATAACTATTGTTTGGATTTTAGATTTGAATACGTTTTTTTATGAGCTAAGAAAAAACCCTTATTCTGAATTCAACGTAATTGCAACTCACAGAATGAAGACACCACTAAAATTTGAGGGTCTTATTCAATGTATTGCATTTATATTTGTTATAAGAATAAGAACTTTATTAATCCCCAAAGGGAAATTCAATATATTTATAACAAAAATTATAATCTCAAAAACTTCTACTTCTACTATGTAATGATCAAAATTGTGGGCGACTGGTTCGTGATTATTAAATGTTAGTGTCAGATATTGTTTAGATTTTTTAGTGCAACTTGAAGTGGTCCAGATGCTGTGCAGACCATGTGAGTTATTTACACCATCCACCTGACTAAATGACATTGCTGGATGCTTAAATGTAAAGCGACTATCCCACAAGAAGGCAGGCCTCATAACATTTTGTAGTTTATGTACCCTTGTCATGTTGTCACATAATATGTTCATACTTTCAGAAAAGACTCTTAAAAGAAGAAAAGACAAAGTCAGAGGAAAAGTTGTCACCTCCTTTATTTTTGTTTTAGATATTGACCTTAAAGGTGGAAAACATTAAAAGACATTTCATTAAATCAAAACGATGCTACATCTGAATTATTTGGTTGAGATTATAGTCATAATCAGACTTCTATGACAGTAAAACAGAAGTGAGATTGACGAGTGCCTAGTCTTTGTGACAATTTCAGGGACACCATGTGATATCAAACAGGCTCATGGAATTGCAAAATAAATAAATTAAGTGTAAGAAATTACAGACTGCTCCAAAAGCATCAACAATTATGCAACCACCAGAATCTTGTAGTTGCACAGATACAATAACAAACAAGAAGTTTTTCCAGTGAAACATCATGAAATATAGCTTTATCAAGCATCATAAGCAACATGAAATTTCAGGAATAAGACTCAAAAATGCCGTTCTTTAAAAAAAAACACATTTAAATCTCAGAGGTCAATTGAAGTAAAATGTTTGAAACATATTTGAACACAAAACAACCACAGAGACAATTGACAGAGCTGCTAATTCCTGTTTATGGAGTAATATTGAGAGTGACCAGATCAGACACAGAGACAAAGAGATGAGTTAAAATCTCTGTAGCATACAGTAAAAACACGCAACTGGATAATTTCCCTTTAAAGTCGTTCTCACTGTTTGGCCTGTTGACAAACCAAATAAGACAGTTACCCTTTAAACAAGCTATTTTAAAAACATATATGTTCCCTCTGGCTTGGAAAAAGTTTTACTTTAAAGCACCTTACTCTGTGTTATATTCAAGACAGAGGAAACCAGCATTGAATGAAAACTGATGACCACACAACAACAATAAGATAATCAAAAAAAAAAATTCCATTTGAGCCTGTTTTAATTTTCAAAAAGGTATATTTTTCTTTTGACACACACAATAAAGGGCTAATGCTTGAATTTTGGGAATGATACTTTAACCCTCTGCAGTTGGTTTAGGTAGTGATCTGTGCCAATTTTCTTTTTTCTCACCAGAGCCAGAAATCTGAATTTGATCTCTTTGGTTTTTAGAGAATACACAATAGGGTTGATGCAGGGTGGGATACAAGAAGCCAAAGACAAACTCAGCACACGCTGGTCAGGGTCAATGAGACGCATATAGAATCCAATAGTAAAAATAGTTATGAGAGGAATGTAAAACACAGCTACAAGCACTAGATGCTCAACACAAGTAGCCAAAGCTTTCACTCGACTGTCCAAAGATTTCATTCTGAACACAGTCACCAGGATGCTCACATACGACAGGAAAATGAAAATAAAAGGTACCACGAGGAAGAGGAAGGTGAGCAATGAGGCCACAGTCCACTGCAATGTGAAGTCATTACAAGCAAGACGAAACACAGGTGCATAATCACAGAAATAACTGAAAACCTGAACAGATTTACAAAAAGACAGTCGTGTTATTATGGCTGTTGAATATGCAAGGACCCCCACAGTAAAAGACCAAATCCCCACTAAAAGGCAGGACATGCTCCACATTGTGTTGATGGAGTTCTGACGCAGAGGAAAACAAATCGCAATCAACCTGTCGTAGGCAAGAACAGCTAGTGCATATGACTCCAAAGTCCCACAAGCATAATAGAAACACATCTGCACCAAACATAAGTTGTACGGGATGAAGTTATCCTTGACTAGGAAGGCCTTAATCATGCCTGGAATAGTACTTGTGTTAAGGATTAAGTCAATGACTGCCAGATTGGCTACAGCCAAAAATTTTGGAGTGTGTAAACAACGATCAAAGATAATAATGCAGATCACCAAACTGTTGAAAACCACAGTAACAATATAAACAAATATGAGAAAGATGAAGTAGACGCTGATGAAGGGAAATGTCTCAAATCCAACTATGTAAAAGCCTGGAGGTTTAACAAAGACAGAGTCATTAAAGGCAGTCATTAGAAAAGACATAGTTGTTGTCCAAAGTCTGTGTGTTGGATGACAGCCTCTTATCTGCAACATTTAAAAAGATTCCCAGTTTTAGGAACAATATGATAAAATCACATTTAAAAACCATACATGAATAAAAAGACAGTTTCTTATCCAACATTTCTCCCAGTGTGTTGAATTAATGTTTAAATCAGTATATGGAGCTTACCTGATGTTCCTCTTTCTCAGAGTTGATCAGCGCTACACCACACCACACAACTCATGGTGCTGACTCTAAAAGCAACATGAAGACAGCTGCATCTTTGACTTGTGCATGCAGATAATATAGTCTGTTTATTGATCTCCAGAGATCAATCAGGAGACAATTATCAACCAGGTCTGACAAAGTCGCGGTGCTATGATATTAATTTGATCCTTAGAGAGCAGGGCTGCAGGTTTTGTTTGTTTTTTGATCAAACTTTTCACAATTGTAGAATAAAGGGGACCTTAAAAAAAGATCATAAATCTGTAAAAGAAACTAAAAAAATCTCAGTCAAGAGTTTGTTTCTTTTACTGTAATTATATTATTGATTTGAAAGAGTTACTCCATGCTTGCTGCTCTGCTTTCTATCTGAGTTGTTAAATGTCTCCACTCATCTTTGCTGTTGTTTATCTGCACATCCTTTCCTCCATTAACAACGTTGATCATAACATACAACTTGAAGCCTAAATGCAATTTGATAAAATTGCGGCAGTATATTTCAGATGTCAACATCATCATCATTTTTTTGAGAAATCATTGCAAGGCTGCAGTTATTTACATTAATAAGCCCAAAACCATAACAAGTATTTATAAAAACTGAAGAAGAGTTGATTCAAGGCTATTATATTCGCTGAAATTTAAATACTAACAGGAAATTACAAAAACAAAAGGTACAAAAAGTTATCTGTAAAAAGTAAAGCTTAGAATAAAAAAATTATATAAATAAATTAAATGCCTAAAAGGTATAAAGAGATAGTTCAATAATTTGAATGATTTAGGCACTCTTACATAAAATTACAAATGGAAACTGTGAGTTACACGCTCACACATCGAACCTTGAAAACATTTGTTAGTTTTAAATCAACTTTATTTTGAAATTCTGACTTTTGTAAACAAAAAAGAAAAATAGAACAAAACGCTGAATTATCACATCTCCTTTTTAGTGTCCTTTTAAATATCTTTTATATTCAAACCCTGTAGTCGGTTTTCTTTTTTTCCCACCACAAGCTTTTAGCAGACAGAGTTATCTTTTAGAGACGTTCTGCATCATTTCATCAGTTTGTCAAAGGTCTCATAACAGCATCACACCTGAAATCTTTACAGGACAGGACCACCTACAGGAAAATCACAGGACACTTTGAACAGTGCAGCGAGTGCTTTTATTTCTCATGATCCCACATCTTCCTGTGATGGAAACAGACAGTTTCTTAAAAATCTGCGAGAACCAGTGACCACACACAGCGCCGTCACCGCTTTATTTGATTGACTTTTAGAGGGGGCAGGATGACAGGTGTACAGAAATAATTGCAGAGTATGATTTCAGTGCTGAGGAAGATATATAAAAATTTCTCTTGAAGCACTTTCATGGGACTGTCTTTAAACACTGAAAAACATGTAATAACTCCTCTGTTGCATATTTTCCCTAAGGATGCATTTAACGTTAAAGAGGTTTCAGTAAGCCAAAACAAAAAGGTTCTAATGGACTCAGTTTGTGAACCGTCACCCGAGGAGTTTGGTTAATGATTTGACTTCAGCAAACAAACA